GCCCTTAGGTTGTGGCAGATAAGGGAGGCCCTGGTTGTATCAGTGATGAAACAAGGCTGTCAGGAGCGTGAGTGGGTTTGGAGGGCAGGCAGAGCAAATTTGGAGAATTTACACATCCTGCAAAAGTCCTAAGGCAGGAATAAAGCTGAAAGTTTTGTTTTGGAATCAGCCTGGAAGGGTTTAATGAAAGCCAGGGAGTACTGGAGACTTTCATAGGGGAGCGCAGAGGAAGGAAGAGCCAGGGCCAGGACCAGGCCTCTGGGAAGGAAGATGAGGGAATGTCAGAAGCAACCAGGTCAGAAGCAGGGATGGTCCAGAAGCTTACCCTGAATTTAGGGAAAGTTGTGTGGAGGATGTGTCCATGATGGGAGACCCTGCGGAGGCTCTTGGGGACAAGAGACCGGGATGAGGTCACTATCTGGGTGGTGAGGTCAGCAGAGACCTTGGGAGCAGTTTTTAGAGCTCTGGCAGCCAGAAGGCAACAACATGAAGGACACCGAAGATGAGACCAGCGGGAACCAGGGACAGGCCAAGAAAATGTAACACAGAGGTCTGTAGGGCCCAGGGAGCGGGCCCCTGACCTCCCCCTCATTCCCCATGCCAGGTCCCCACCTCTCGTGAATGTGTGGGCTTTGGAGCTGTGCAGGAGGTGGCCGTGGGGCTGGTGCAGCCGGCCAGCGCAGCCCTGTATGACTACTACAACCCAGGCGAGCACTTGTGGGCACCTGGGAGGTTTGGGACATCAGGGCCTGGGGCAGTAACCGGTGGCAGGGAGGTCCTGTGGCTCCAGAGGACTAGGAGGCAGCAAGGGGGCTCGTGCCCTAACTCCCCTCTCTGCTTCTCTCCAGAGCGCAAGTGCTCTGTGTTTTACGGAGCACCAACGAAGAGCAAACTCTTGGCCACTTTGTGCTCTGCTGACGTCTGCCAGTGTGCCGAGGGTGAGACCCAGGGTCTGAGGGCAGGCCGAGAGGGGGCTTGCTGGGGCTGACCTTGTCTCACCTGGGCCCTGACTTCAGGGAAGTGCCCTCGACAACGGCGTGCCCTGGAGCGGGGGCTGATGGAAGAAGATGGCTACAGGATGAAGTTTGCCTGCTACTATCCCCGCGTGGACTACGGTCAGTCTTCCCACAATCAGGATCTCTGGTTGTGCCTGCTCCTGTCACAGGCCTGCAGGCAGCCTCTTTGCTCTGACACCAACTTGCAGCCCTCAGCCTCGGGGTAACCCACCTTCCTTTCCTTCCCCTAAACTTCCTCACAGGCTTCCAAGTTAAGGTTCTCAGAGAAGATTCCAGAGCTGCTTTCCGCCTCTTCGAGACCAGTATCACCCAAGTCCTGCACTTCTGTATGAAGGGACAGGGCAGGGGTGTGGGCCGGGCTAGGGGGACAGAGGGGAGCTGAGGTCCAGGTTTGGGGCCTGGCTGCCTGGAATAGTAAAACTTCAGAAGAGTCTGAGCTTAGATTCCCTTAGCCTCTTAGAAGCTCTGGGCGCATTATAAAGGGGAAAGCAGCACCCTGCTGGGAGTGACAGGGTTGGGGTGGGGGAGGGTGTCTGCAAAGCCCCTGGCCCCTTGCCGGCCCTGCCCCTCCACTTCTCCTCTGACAGCTCTGCGCCTGTCTCCCCACAGCCAAGGACGCCCAGGCCACTGCTGGGCAGACCCGAAACTTCCTGGTTCGGGCCTCTTGCCGCCTTCACCTGGAACCTGGGAAAGAGTATTTGATCATGGGTCTGGACGGGGCCACCCATGACCTCAAGGGACAGTGAGTTCTCGGGGCCCCTGAGTCTCTTGCTGTTCTCATACCTCATGAGGGAACAGATCCCCTGCGCCTGGACCCTGCCCCTCCGAAGCCAGGGGCCTTGTGCTCTCCTTTCCTATCTGGCCATCCTCCTGATCGCTGCTGACTGCCCTTTGCCCCCACAGACCCCAATACCTGCTGGACTCGAACAGCTGGATCGAGGAGATGCCCTCGGATCGCTTGTGTCGGAGTACCCGCCAGCGGGCCGCCTGCGCCCAGCTCCGAGGCTTCCTGCAGGAGTATGGCACTCAGGGGTGTCAGGTGTAAGGGCTGCTCCCTCCTCCCCTAGGAGGAGCCTGGGCCTGAAAAAGGTGATTCCTAGCTTGGCGCCATGGCAGGGCCAGAAAGTTAATAAAGACCTTCATCAGCAACATGTCCGCGTGTGTCTCTAGGACTGCAGGCCGTCCCCATCGTGCCTTCCAGGTTGGGGGGCCCAGGCCAGCGTTTGCGTAATCTTAGGCTTTCAGAGCCCGATGACCCTGGGTGGGTGCCTCATCCCTCCCAGATGACTCGCCGGGAGCTCAGTCCATCATAGGACCACCCGAGCAGACTTGTGACCCGGCAGCCTCCCCCCCTGAGGACCAAGTGTCCACACCAAGGCCTGCTTTCCACTGTGCCAGAAGGGCACTCCTCCGCCCCGGGTAGCCAGGTGCGACCCCGCACTTGGGCCTCAGGCAGGACCTGTGCTCCACTCACACCTGGCTCTTCTGCCTCAGGAGCCACCGTCCGGCCCACGTCTCCCACTGGTCCTGGCACAGCTGCCAGTTCTGGGGGCTGTTGCTTTTAGCTGAGACCTGATCTTTTGAAAGCCTGTTGACACTTGACCTTGTTATCAGTGGTATTAGGAAACGTTTCCAGAGTTGCGTAATTCCCAGATCAGATGCTCTCTTCGTCCAGGTACTAATTTTAAACAAGCCAAAAAGTTGTCTTTGGCGTGTTTGTTAATACTATGTAAAGAACGTTCTACTGGGGTGAACCTTCCTCACCTGTCCCCCTAGCTCCCCCCCATTTGGTGGTACCCCTTGGGTCTTAAGGGCTGACACAGAAATCCATCAAATCCATCTAGAGAAATTTGCTAAGACAGTACAGGAGCCTGCCATTGGATCATCCAACAGATATTTGTGGAACTCTTACTCCATGCCCAGTGTGCCAGGGCCCCATCTTCTGAGAGGTGTGGTCCCTGAGGGGCACATAGTCGGGGCATCTGACCCAGCCTGGGGAAATGGGCGAAGTGGGCAGGGGAGTCTTCCCGGAAGAGGGGACTTCTAAGTTAGGTTCTGAAGGCTGAGGACTCAGGCAAAGAGAGTGGGGTAGATGAGGGTGTTTGAGGCAGGAGAAAGAGACTATGAAAAGCCTGAGGCCAGGGTGGGACAGCACATTTGGGGGCCCTGCATGTGACTCATAAGGGTGGAATCTGGATTTGGTGGGAGGGGCCCCTGGAACAGCCCGAGCAGCAATGTGGAAATGATGGGGCTGGAGTCAATTTATGAAGAGGTGTCCACAAACGTGCCACCTTTCCTGATCACTCTCCTTAGAATGGAGTCCCCTCCGAAGCCACGCAATTTCAAGATGGTTCGACCTCCCCAGTGCTTCAGAGCCTTCCTAGGGCTGCGGTCTACATGGCTTTATGCTTGCCCATGAGGTCTCACTCCCTAAAGCTGCTCACCATGCTGGTGGCATAAACCCATGTAGGAGAGCCAGGGATTCAGCTGCAGCGATGGCAAGACCTGGCCTGGGACTGAGCGGGGCAGCAGCTATTGCTGCCCAACCACAGAGCCCTGGCCTGTGTTCTCTCCCAGTCCTGGGCATGGACCCAGGCAGAGCTCCACCTCTTCCACTAGGAGCCCAGAGTTAACTTTCCAAGCCAGCAGGTGGGACAGTGGGGACGTCAACTCAGGCTCCCCAGGGCACAGCCTGTGTTCCGGTCAAAGCTCTGAGGGGGAGGGCCCTCCACCGCTTGGGTCTGGGGTCAGTTCACAGAGCCAGGGATGAGGAATTAGGGGATGACATGAGTCTCAGGTCCCCTCCAAGCCTTTGATCCCCAGGAGGACCAGCTCTCTCACTGAGCCATGCTTCTCTTTGGCATGACCTCTCAAGACTCCCCTTTAATCTCCTCAGACGCTCCTCTAAGGTCCTCAAATTCTACACATAAAATTGGTCCCTGATAGTCCTAATTGGTTTGGTGGGACCCCACTTCTTTCGGTGACAGCTCTCAGGATAGGGCTGGACCCCTGACCCCAGCTGTGGCAATTGAGCTCCTTCCTGGGGACTTTGGAATCACAGGGGAGGCACGTTGAGTTGTGCTGGGAAGCCTCACTTGCCCTTGGGCTGGACCTGTAACCTGTGAACTGTGACCCCAACAGCCGTCCTGCTCTGCCTGCACCTGAACACAAGCGGCTGGACCGCAGACACAGGAGGGAGGAATGAAGTGTGAGGAAACACTGTCCCTAGGGCACTCCACATTCCCTGTCCTTAGTCTCCTGTCTCAGGTTCTGAGCTACCCTTGTATTCATGTAACAGTTCTTATTTTAGCTCCAGTCCCTCAAGTTGGTCTCTTTTTCTTGCAACCAAAAAGGTATGCAGTACATGGTAAGAGCTCCAAATTGGAGACCAGATGATTCTTCATCTTCAACTTTTGAGAGTGAAATGAGAACTGATAATTACACGAGACTACAGGTATGAAGTGGGAAAACCCAGGCAAACCAGGCTATGTGTTTACGCACCTGTGAGTTAAAAAAACAACACACAGATCACTTTTACCTCATTTTGTTCTTCAGACAATCTGAAGGGCACATGGGGACAGGACTGTCATTTTCCCTTGCAGACAAACACTGCCGCAGGAAACTGGTCCCAGGGTGGGCAGCAGGCTCAGCAGGCTCAGCCCAGAGTGCGGACACATTTCCCTGCATGGCTGGTGTGGGGCCATAAAGCTGATGCTGGCTGTGGGAGAAAGTTCAGGGTTGCGCTTTCCTTCCTTTCTTCTTGATGGATGAAAGAAGAAAGGCCTATTTGAAATATGGACTCTCCAAGGCCAACAAGGCCTGTTGCCATTCCAAGAATGTGGTGTTCTGTGGGCGGGACTGTGGGTAGGAGCTTGAGGGAAGGAGTGAAGGGGGGCCCCCGGAACAGCCCGAGCAGCAAGATGGATGGTGGGGCCTCCAGAGCTATAAGTGGCCAGGCAGGGGCCTTTGCATGCGTCTCTGGCCATGCTGCTCCTTGGGCTGCTGCTGCTGACTGTGCTGTCTGGTGCCCGTCTGCTGTGGGGCCAGTGGAAGCTCAGGAGCCTCCATCTCCCACCTCTTGTCCCCGGGTTTCTGCACCTGCTGCAGCCCAACCTCCCCATCTATCTGCTTGGCCTAGCTCAGAAACTCGGGCCCATCTACAGGCTCCGCCTCGGGCTCCAAGGTGAGTGCCTGCTCCCTGCCTGGCTCCGCCACAGTGGGATGTGGGTGCATTCTCAGCTGATGTCTGCTTTGGTGCTCCCCCAGATGTGGTGGTGCTGAACTCTAAGAGGACCATTGAGGAGGCCATGGTCAAGAAGTGGGTGGACTTTGCCGGCAGACCCCAGATACCATCCTGTAAGGGGTGGCAGAAGCTGGGGCTGGGCGAAGCAGGGAAGGTCCGGCTGTGGCTCCCTTGGTTAGTTCAACCCCCACCTTACTCGCAGACAAGCTGGTGTCTCAGCACAACCAGGACCTCTCACTCGGGGACTACTCCCTGCTCTGGAAGGCCCACAAGAGACTCACCCGCTCTGCTCTGCTGCTGGGCATGCGCAGCTCCATGGAGCCCCTGGTGGAGCAGCTCACCCAGGAATTCTGTGAGGTGAGGCTGGACCGCATGGTCCCCCAAGGTCGGCTTCTCTTCTCCCAGCAGCCCCGGCCTGTTCAGTTCATGCTTTCTCCGCAGCGCATGAGAGCCCAGGCTGGTGCCCCTGTAGCCATCCAGAAGGAATTCTCTTTCCTCACCTGCAGCATCATCTGCTACCTCACCTTCGGAGACCAGGTCAAGGCTCTCTCATGCTTACATAAGCTTGGACCCACCCCTCAGCCTCTCCCTGACCCTGTCCTTGGCCTGAACTGAAAGGATTCCCTCCTCTAGCAGGAGGATACCTTAGTGCATGTCTTTCACGACTGTGTCCAGGACTTGATGAAAACCTGGGACCACTGGTCCATCCAAATTTTGGACATCTTTCCCTTCCTCAGGGTGAGGAGGTGGAGCCCAGAAACCCTGGCTCCTGGGAGTGGGTGGGGGACAGGCTTCCTTCCCAGCAGCTACACTCTCTCGCCCCTGCCCAGTTCTTCCCCAACCCCGGCCTCTGGAGGCTGAAGCAGGCTGTGGAGAACAGGGACCACATTGTGGAGGAGCAGCTGAGGCGGCACAAGGTGGGCACTGTGCTTGGACTGGGCCCCTCAGCCCGCAGCCAGGCACTCAGGCGGGCCCCTCCCCTCTCCAGGAGAGTATGGTGGTCGGACATTGGAGGGACATGATGGACTACATGCTCCAGGGTGTGGGGAAGCCGAGAGTGCAGGAGGGCCCTGGACAGCTCCTCGAAGGGCATGTGCATATGTCTGTGGTGGACCTTTTCATCGGTGGCACGGAGACCACTTCAACGACCCTCTCCTGGACTGTGGCGTTCTTGCTTCACCACCCTGAGGTGTGCCCCCGGGGGCAGGCTCCTTCCTGGCCGCCTGTCACTCCACCCTGGTGCAGGTTGTATTAGCACAGGATGGGGGGGCTTCTCCTAATTGTTACAAAGGCTGCTGTGGGTGCACCAGGGCATGACTAGAGCGGGGCGAGAGGCAAGGCTGGACCCCACACTAAGCTTGCGGGGGGGGGGGGGGCCCTCCCCCCGCTTTCCCAGGTTCAGCAGCGACTGCAGGAGGAGCTGGACCGTGAGCTGGGCCCTGGGGCCTGGAGCTCCCAAGTCCCGTACAAGGACCGCACACGACTGCCCTTGCTCAATGCCACCATCGCGGAGGTGCTTCGCCTGCGGCCAGTAGTGCCCCTGGCGCTGCCACACCGCACCACGCGGCCCAGCAGGTGACTCCCGAAAGGTAGGGGTGAATGGGACGGCAGGCGGGGTCCTGGCCGGCGTCTAACTCCACCTCGCCATCAGCATCTTCGGCTACGACATCCCCGAGGGCACGGTTGTCATCCCCAACCTCCAAGGTGCCCACCTGGACGAGACGGTCTGGGAGCGGCCACATGAGTTCTGGCCTGGTGCGTGCAAGGCCCGGTGCCCGCGGGTGGGAGCAGTGCGGGCCGGTCCCTCGTGGCCGCTGACCAGGTCTGCCCTTTCCCCGCAGACCGCTTCCTGGCCCCTGGCGCAAGTCCCAGCGCGCTGGCCTTCGGCTGCGGGGCTCGTGTGTGCGTGGGCGAGCCGTTGGCGCGCCTGGAGCTGTTTGTGGTGCTGGCGCGCCTGCTGCAGGCCTTCACTCTGCTGCCGCCCGCAGGCGCCCTGCCCTCCCTGCAGCCCCAGCCCCACGGGGTCAACCTCGCTGTGCAGCCTTTCCAGGTGCGGCTGCAGCCCCGGGGAGCGCACGGCCCCATCCAGGACAAGTGTCAGTAAGAGGCAGGACACGTGCAGACCTCGTGCCTCAGTGTCTCCTTTTATTGTTCGATACTATCCTCCCTCCCCCCTGTAAACATAGTGCTGTGAGATCGCGGTGGAGAAGGCTCCCTCTGGTGGATGGGTGGTGAAGACGGGCCCTGATTCTTCTCGCCTCGCGGCCCCTCAGTGCTCGGCAGTCTTACCTGCGCGGGAGAGGTGAGCCGAGGCTCAGCCTCCCCAGGCAGGGGCGCGGTAGCCTCTGGGTCTCAGCTTCATTTCCGTGAAGGGCACAGAGAACTCGAAGCCCTTCCAGTGGTACCAGCTCACTCCCTGGAAAGGAGGTTGTGGAGAGAGTCAAAGCAGACATCCCATTTGCTCCCACCCCTGTCCTTTTGGGAAGCTGATTCCCAGAAATCAAACTTCATCCCTCCCTGCTGCCTTCATAACCCTCAAGGGCAAAGACTGGGGCTTAATCCCAAGCTGGCTCTTTCCAATCAATAAATCATCTTCTCCCCAAAACACCATGGTGAGAGAGCATCATTGTTCCATTTTGCAGATGAGGGCCATGAGGACTCAGTAACTAGTCCTGTCACACCCAGGCAGGCTGAGCCCCAGCCACCCCCGCCACATCTGCCCCCGGACCCCTCACCTGGTGGTCCACTGTGCTCCCGTAGAGCCCATTGAGGTTGGCATAGTGGCAGTTTCTGTACCACCAAGCCCCTCGGTAGGAGACGGCACAGGAGATGAGCAAGTTGTTGGGGTCTCGGTCTCGGGCAGAGAAGACACTGTCGCTGTGGTAGCTCATGGAGTCCCCTGGCCAGCGGGTGGAGAAAGAAATAAGGGCCTCCCTCGTCTCACCCCCACCCAGCCTCCAGGCCCAGCCCTTACCTGCCGTGCCATGGTAGCCCTCCAGGTGGAGGCGGTAGTACTCCGAGGCTGAGTCTACCCGGAAAGAGTCGTACTGGGCGAACACTGCCTCGTCCCCAGCCCGCAGGTCCACGCGCATAGAGTAGTCGCCAGCTCTCGTCAGGCTGTGCAGGGCCTCGTTGCCTGGGGGTGGGGAGCGTGCTCTCACCAGGGCCCCGGTGTCCACAGGGCCCCGTTCCCTTCCCTGGTCCCCCCAGTCCCTGTGAGGCACTGACCCAGCCAGAACTCCCCGGAGATGTTCCCGAAACCATGGGCATAGTCTTCCCAGTCCCTCCAGAAGTCCGTCTGTCCATCCATGCGGCGCTGGAACACCTGAGGAGCAGGTGGGGTACCATCAGCCTGTGGCTCCTGGCGCACCAGCCCTGGCCCTTGTGCAGGTCCCTGGGCTTCCGGCTGCCACCCACCAGCCAGCCGCCCCCATCAGTCGCCATGTCACAAAACACATTCAGTGGCCGCTCGCGATTGCCGTTGAGGAAGATGGTGGTGGTCCTGGAGGTGCCGGCCCCATTCTGCATCTCCTCCCCACAGTCCCGGGGGAAGGGGATCCGCAGTCCACCTGGGGAGAGGACAGAGCGGGGTCAGTGCTTTCTCCAAACCCTAGACCCGGCTGCCCACTCAGCCCCCACCTCAGGTCCCAGCACCCAAGTACCAGTGGTGAAGGAAGTGGACATGGGCGGCGTGAGGCTCTCGCCCCACACAGCCCGGAGCCAGGCTCTGTAGGTGGTGGAGGGAAAGAGGCCCAGGAGCTGGTGAGAGGTGATGCCTCCTGGGAGCAAGATCTCCTGCGAGACAGAGAAGGGGTGGGTCAGGGGACAGGGAGGGGGAGCCCCACCAGGAGGGGCAGAGACAGAGACAGCCCCTCCTGGAATGGGGAGTTGGCCAGTGGGGCAGGCGTGGGGGCACCTGGGTCTGTCCACCAGGGGTGTCATAGGTGAGCAGGTAGCCAGTTGGTGGGACTTGGGGCTCTGTCCAAACAAGCAGGGCTGTGCGGGGGGTTACTTCCTTGGCTTCCAAGTCCCGGGGACCCTCCAACCCTGGAAGGGGAAAAGGGAAGAGAAGTGGAGGATGAGGCCTTTCCTTGCACCTGCGCTCCCCTGTTCCACAAACCTCACAGGAGGTACCTGTAGTGAAGGTGATGCTGGCTGGAGAGGTGAGGTTGGGGCCCCGAAGGCCATGCACGGTGGCTGTGTAGTTGGTGTGGAGCATGAGGCCGTGCAAAGGGTAGTCCACAGCGCTGCCCGGGGCTGAAGCCTGTAGGCGGGGGGCTGGCCATGGCGGGGTGTATCAGCGGCTGCTGGTCTGCCTCTGCCCTCCCTCCCTGAATATGTCCCCTCCAAAAGCCTGAGCCCCACTCACTGCCTGGGGCTGTGACCCAGATGTCATATGTGTCCACAGGAGCCTGAGGGGGCTTCCAGTGTAGCATGGCTGTTCCCTCTGTCAAGTTCAGTGCTCGCAGTTGGGTGGGGCCATCAGGAACTGGGAGAACAGCGTAAGGGGCTCATAGCGGACCTCTGCTGTTTTCCCCACCCTTCCTTCCCAAACCCTGCTGCGGCTCTGGTCTGTGACTGTACCCTCCAACACCTCTCCCCTCTCCAGCCACTGAACTGATCCCCACCCATGGTCTCATGTCCTCCCCTCCCTCGCCCATCCTGGCCCAGCCAATGATCTCACCAGTAGTGAGGAAGCCTGTGAGAGGCTCGCTCTCCTCAAAGCCTCGGACAGACACGACCGTCACCTCATAGTGAGCACCTGGGACCAGCCCCTTGAGTTTCTGGGTCCACGCCTGGCTGTCCACTTGCACACTCTGTGGCTCCCCTGAAAACATGGTGGGCTCGGGAGGTTGCTAGGGAAGCCAGGAGGGGCTGCAGGGTGGGCAGAGTGGAGGGTGTGAAGAAAGGAGAGCCAGTGAGGACATGGGCAAAGGGTGTCACCTCCTTCCGCCAGTTGGTAGGACACTTTGAAGCTGTCAACTCTGGACGGTGGGGGCATCCAGCTGACCTTGGCTGAGGTCTCCCCAATTTCGCTGAACTGGAGGTCACGGGGGCTCTCCAGAACTGAGGGGAGTGGTGTGCCAAGGAACATTGTGAGGGCATGGGCGAGGGCCTCCTGTGGAGGACTGCCCCCGCCCTCGCCTTCCTGGGCCACTGGCTGCAGGCACAGACGTGGAAGTCTTTCTGCATTCCTCACTCCCCGCCCCACTCGCCAGCCTCCCTCTGGCTGAGGCACCAGCTCCCAGCCATGGGGCCTCACCTGGGCTCAGTGTGCGGGCAGTGCCCTGCACGCTGTCAGCATTGTGGGGCCCACGCAGGCCGTACAGTGTAATGCTGTACAGGGTCCCGGGACGCAGGTCCCGAAGCACAGCCGAGCGCCGTGTCCCTGGCACTGTCATCTCCCGCTGCAGCAAGGGACGCGGATGGGGCTCCAGAGTGCTTGCTGATGGGACCCCATAGCGAAGCAGGAAGGAGTCGAAGGCCCCAGAGGGGGCCTCCCAGTTGAGCCGCAGAGAACTGGTGGTCACATCAGTCACAGACAGCTGGGAGAGCCGGGGCCCCAGCTCCCCTGGGGTCTGACCGGCAGGAGCTGACCCTGCACAGAGCAGGCGGGAAAACAGCTTAAAGGCAGAAGCACACCAGCAGGGTGACCTGGGGCAGGTCCCTTCTGCCACCCAGCCTGGCCCCTGGGTCCTCATCTGTAAAGTGGAGCGAATGGGGGGCTGGCACCCACAGTAGGATCCATAGAGACACCACCTGTGTGCAGAGCCAGGGAAACCCCTTCCTCCCTCCATGGCACCCCCATGTTCTTTCCCTGTGCTCACCACTTCTGGGGCACCCCCCACCCTTCCCAGGCCCAGATGAGAAGCAGGGAGGCTAAGACACAGGCCCTCGCCTAGGGGTACCTGTGGTGCCCTCAGCTGAGACAGGGCCGAGACGCTTCCCTTCATGGAGGCCGTAGAGAAAGAACTTGTAGGGGGTGCTCGGTTCCAGGCTGGACACAAGGACCTTGTTCTGGTCACCACCCACAAGCAAGGCCTGGGACTGCCTGTCTGTGTCCCAATACTGCACCACAAAGGAGTCAAAGGGGCCCTGGGCCACTGTCCATGAGAGGTGCAGGGAGTCCGGGGTCCTGTCAGTCACTGTCAGCACCCCCAAACGGGGCCCTTCCGGGGGCTCGGGAGCCTCTTCTGGGGCTGTGGGAGAAGCCCAGGGAAGGAGCTGAGTGTGCGTGCATGTCTGTGCATGCGCTGTGTGTGCTGCACGTGCGTGCGTGTGCCCACTGCAGGCCCTCCCAGCACCACTGCACCAGTTCCTGGGTGGCCCAGGGCTGAGGTGCACACTTTACAGGTCCTGGCTTCCATGGAAGCCAGGTAGAGAGAAGAGAGGGGCTGAAGCTTCTAGCATGTTCCTTCTCTTGAATCTGCCAAATTCCTGCTCTGGTGGTGAGGCCTGCTCCTGCGGGCCTCCCTGGGTGCCAACACTGTGGCCCCGTGACTCCTCTGTGGGCTCCTTTGCCAGGTCTGAATTTGCGCTGCCTCTGAGGCGGGACTAGCTTGGCCACCCCCGAGTTCGGCCACAGGCCTCCTGTCTGAGGGTAGCTGAGGGTGGAAGTGGCTGGTGAACGGTGTGGGGGGCAAACCTGCCCCGTGGGGCTGCTGGGAGCTGGGCCCGCACCTCTGGGGGAGGAGCCCCTTCCACCACCACAGCCACTTCTGCTGGTTTCTTTGCTCCTTCTTGTTTTCTTTTCCAGTAATTTTTCCATCTGAGAAAAGGCTCCTGACTTATCCATGGGTGGGGGTCTTATCCTTATCTGGGCAAGGCCACCCTGAGGGGACGTGGAGCGCCCCGCTGAGGAAGACAGAGCAGCCACAGAGCTGCCGGGCGGTGGGGGGGTGGGGGGGGTGGGGGGCGCGTAATTGAAGGGGTCCGGAGGATTGAGGACCACTGCCTGGGCCTCTCCTGGCCCGGCTCCTGCTTTCGACTGACCCCTAGTCACTGACAGAGCTGGCCTCTGGCACCTTCCTCTGGGCCCCAGGCAGGGCTCCCTCATGCCCCTATCTGCTCATGCCTGTCCCTACATCTTCAGCCCAAACTCACACAGGTTGGCCCGCTAGGACAGTCTCCCACTCACCTGTCATTCCCAGGACAGAGACAGGGCCCAGGCGTTGTCCTTCTAGGATCCCGTGCAGCAGGAACTTGTATTTCCTGCCAGGCTCCAAGCCACCTATGGTGGCCTCCTGCTGATCTGCAGCCACAGGCACTGCCCGGGGCTGCCCGTTTGTGTCCCTGTACTCGACCATGAAGGAGTCAAAGTGGCCCTGGGCCACTCTCCATGTAAGGCGCACGGAGTGCGGGGTCTCATCTGTCACTGCCAGCTCCCCTAGGTGGGGTAGGGGCTGCCACTCCTTCTCCAGGGGAGCTGTGGGGAGAGTGGGGGTTTGTGGAGGAGAAACTCTTAGAGCTGCCTTCACCTCAACCTTGGCAACTTCCAGGCGGTGTGAGGGTCCGAGAGACAGTCCCTGAGGTGTGGCTTCACGGACAGCCACCTGAAGAGACAGGACTGCTCCAGCCTGCGGGCAGCCTGGTCCCCTCCTCCAGAGGCCACTGCCCAAACGCCTCCCTGCCCCCGCCCCCTCCCTACTGTGACGGGCATGCAAGAAATGCATAAAAGATCACCTTATGAGAGCAGGGGGGCTGGGGCTGCTGAGAAGGGTGTCAGTTACCCCCTGACCCCTGAGTGCCCTGAGCAGAGATGTGGCCAGAGCTGGGAAAAGCCCCTGGAGGGCATCTGGGTTGTCGGGTTGACAGCAAGAGCCAGGCCGGGCAGCCAGTCAAGCTCACAGGCTGCCATCACCCGGCACGACCCCTCCTTGCTCTCCATCAGCCTGGGCCCTCCTTCCACTCACTGCCCCAGCCCTGCACGAACCCTGGGACCTCGAAGCCGGGTGAGGAGAGGCAGGGGGAGAAGCCAGGGGCAGAGTACGGAAGAGACCTGCCGAGGGTGGGTGCTGACCGGTGGAGCTGGAGGAGAAGTCTGTATCCCGTCACCATAATGAGTTCAGGGAAGAGGATTATGGAGTCTGAGGGCCTCAGGCCCCAACTGGCCATGTGTCCCATCCTTGTCTGGCCAGGGTGACTCATGGTCCTGGGAGTGGAGTGAGAGTCAGTGACCTACCTCCACCCTTTCCTTGGGGGCTGAGTCATGGGCACAATGACGCTGGATTTTTCCATTGTCTTTTTGCAGCCAAATTCTCCTGTATTTTCTACCTCTTGCCACAGAGTTGGGACAGAGGGAGGGGGATGTGAACATTTACTGAGCGCCAGTAGATATTATTCATAATCACTATGCAAGTGTGGAGACTGAGGTTCAAAGGAAAGTGGCTTGCTCATGGCCACACAGCTGGCAATCGGGATTTGAACACAGGCCTGCTTGGTTCCAAAGCCTGGGTTGTTTTTAGTACATTGCCAGTCAGTGAATGGAAAAAATGCATATAAAATGCTCATAAGAGTGCCTGGCATGCAACAGCGACTCAGTAAGTGTTTGCTTTTGGTGTTATGATTGTTATGTCAAGGCTGAAGGAGAATAAGTTTCACGGGAAGGCCACAGGGCCAGCTGTGGGAAGAGGCAGCTCTGGGAAAGGTGGGAGGCAGGGCTGGAGTTTACCTGTGGTGCCGTCAGCAGAGACGGGGCCCAACTTCTTCTTGCCTGCCAGACCGTAGAGCAGGAACTTGTACTTCGTGTTGGGATCCAGGCCGCTGACAGTGACCTCCAGCTGGTCTGCAGCCACAGGCACCACCTGGGGCTGCCCGTTCCTGTCCTTGTACTGGACCACAAAGGAGTCAAATTTGCCCTGGGGGACCACCCACGAGAGGGCCACTGAGTCTGGGGTCACATTCGTCACTGTCAGCTCCCCCAGGTGAGGAGAAGGTTTTGTGTCTGGGACTGGAAAAAAGAGAGAGGTACATGGAGAGTGACAGAAATGGTGACAGAAGCAGACAGAACTTCCTCAGGGTCACATGTCAGGAAAGGGGAAGCAGAGGCATAGGGACAAAAGAGGAGCCTGGGAAGAAAGAGGGGTCTTTTGGGGTGGGGGAGCAGGGAGAGGGACAGGATGAGGGGTAAGAGGGAGCGCAGGACTGGATTTCACTGGACCCAGGCAATATATGGGTCTGGAGGCCCTGGGGTCTGGAGTGTGGAGCACAGAAGGTGACATTCCCAACTGTCACCACAAGGGGGCGAAGGATGGTCAAAAGGCTCCAGGAGCAAAGGTGGTCTCTGGAGCTCACTCGTGGGTCTTTGCATCTGCAGAGAGAGGGCCCTGCCTTTTCGCATCCTGCAGTCCAAATAGTAGGAAGGAATTTGTACTTGTGGGGAGGGGCCAGACTGGAGATGGTGACTTCCCATTGGTCTCCACTCACAGGCACTCCCTGGGGCGGCCCCTGCGCGTCCCTGTACTGGACCAGGAAGGAGACAAAAGGGCCCTGGGCCACCATCCAGGACAGGTGCACTGTGCATGAGGTCACAGCTACCACAGCCAGCTCCTCCAGGTGGGGTGCCACTGGGGGCCCTGTGGGCAGGGCGGCTGGGACAGAGCAGCAGGAGCCTCAATGGCAGGACCCTGTCCTGGAGAGGGAATGCTTTCCTGGCTACAGAACAAACATTCAAGCTAATTGCTATAAGGTGTTTACTGAGTCGCAGGTGCTGCATAAGCACTCACACAACAGGGGCAGTAGGTGCCACACCAGCATCACCCCACTGTGCGGGGGATCTGAGGCTGCAGATGTTCAGACACATTTGTATAATAAACAATCCGTACATTCAGAACAGGACTCAAATCCAGAGAACCTGGATCCACATCCACATCTGAGCCATGAAACTGCCCAGTCAGGGAGACTGAGGAAGCCACAGATGACTAAATCAGCAAGTGAGAGGGTCCGGATGGTGAGAGAAGGAACAAAGCTAAAATGTCGGAGGCATAGGCTCCATGCCCACCTGACACTGACTACAGTCTCCACCAGTCCTCACTCATTCAAGGAACATGTGGGACATTGGCACCATGTGAGAAAGGGCAGAGCGCATGTGTAAGGGGTGCTCACCTCTAAGGGAAAAAGCCGAAAGCAGCAGAGCAAAACCCGGCCCCGCCCCCACTCACCAGTCAGGCCCACAGTGGACACCGGGCCCACGCGCCGGCCCCCGTGCAGGCCGTACAGGTGCATCTTGTACTTGCGCCCCGGCTCCAGGCCCCGCACGGTGACCTCTCTCTCCTCACCCCCGGCACGCACCGCCTGGGGCCGCCCGTCCCTGTCCTTGTACTGGACGGTGAAGGAGTCGAAGTGGCCCTGGGGGACGGACCAGGAGAGGCTCAGCGAGTCCGGGGAGGATCCTGTCACTGTCAGCTCCCCCAGGAGGGGCTCCTCGGGGAGCTCTGGGGCGGCCTCCGTGCTGGGTTCCGTGGGGCTGGGCGTCTCTTCCTCTGCAGCTGAGAAGGACAGACACAGGGAGGGTGGGGCAGGGTCCGTGGAGATGTCCTCGGTCTTCTCCCAGGCCGCGGTCGTGCCTGGACCCCGAGGTCCCCGCGGAGAAGCCCCTCCTGGGGGCTGGGAGGTCCTGCTCCGTCCAGCCTCACAAACGTGCCCAGGGCCTCGGGGTCGGCTGTGGGGAGCCGGGCAGCCACCAGCGCAGCTCACAGAGGCCTTTCTCTGCCCCGGGGGCCCCGCCCTGGTCCTCGGGGAGCCCACGGGGAGGCGCCAAGGGCACCGCGGCGCAGCCTGCAGCACCTCGAGCACAGGCGCCCCCTGCACCCCACTCACCCATCGCGGAGTGCCATCGCCCTGCCGGCGCCCGCCCTGCGGCGCCCACCGTCCACTCACCCGTCACCCCGACGGCGGAGACGGGGCCCTGGCGCTGGCCGTCGTGGAAGCCATACAGGTTCATCTTGTACTTGTGGTCTGGCTCCAGGCCCGAGACGGTGACCCCGTCCTCATGTCCCGGCACCCGCAGCGCCTTGGGCTGCCCGTCCCCGTTCTTGTACTGGACCAGGAAGTGGTCAAACTGTCCCTCGGGCACGGTCCAGGAGAGGCTCAGCGAGTCCGGGGAGGACCCTGTCACCGTCAGCTCCCCCAGGCGCGGCTTCAAAGGGGGGCTGCCTGGGGGTTCCTCTTCGGGGGCTGGGAAAAGATGTAAACAGAAGCTTTCCTGTTGCTGAAAGGAGTTGCTGATACCCCAGCTTCTCCTGGCCTCAGACCAGAATGGTGTTAGCTTGGGACTAACCTAAGATCCATTTCTGGTTATGATCGTCCAAGTCTTTCTGTGGCCTCCTTGTGGTCCGTCTAACTGGCCAGCCTCTTGCCTCAGAGCCCTTGTGTATTCCCTCTGCTCTCATCATCTTTCCCCAGATATTTGCATGGCTCATGTCGATGCTTCCTTTGAGTCCTTGTTCAAACGCTACCTTCTCTTTGGGACCTTCCCCTGACCACCTATTTAAGGTTCCAATCTTCCCGATTACAATCTACCTTCTTTACTTAGACCAAATTCCAGCAACAAATTGGAAAACACCAACTATGAAACAAACAAATCTGTAGCACCACGTGGATACTTGAGGACATTAAGGAATGACTGGTCATTCCTTTTTGAAAAAAAATTTAATATATCCATATATTTAATAAATTGATTGTTTTCTTCCTTTTTTTAATGTATTTTATTGATTATGCTATTCCAGCTGTCCCATTTTTTTCCTCCCCTCTATTCCTCTCCGCCTGGCACTCCCGTCCCACTAGGATCCCCCTGCCCTTAGTTCACGTCCATGGGTCGTACATGTAAGTTCTTTGGCTTCTCAATTTCCTATGCTATTCTTAACCTCTCCCTATCTATTTTTTACCTACCAATGTCGCTTCTTATTCCCTACACCTTTTTCCCATTCTTCCCCCTCCCCTCTGATCTCCGTTTCTGTGGTTCTGTTCCTGTTTTAGTTGTTTGCTTAGTTTTTGTTTTTGTCTTAGGTTCAGTTGTTGATGGTTGTGAGTTTGTTGTCATTTTACTGTTCACAGGTTTTGATCTTCTTCCTTTTCTTACATAAGTCCCCTTAACATTTCATACAATAAGGGCTTGGTGATGATGAACTCCTTTAACTTGACCTTATCTGGGGAAGCACTTCGTCTGCCCTTCCATTCTAAATGGTAGCTTTGCTGGCTAGAGTAATCTTGGATGGAGGTCCTTGCCTTTCATGACTTTGAATACTTCTCTGCAGCTCCTTCTTGCCTGAAAGGTTGCTTTTGAGAAGTCAGCTGATAGTCTTATGGGAACTCCTCAGTAGGTAACTGTCTCCTTTTCTCTTGCTGCTTTTAAGATTCTCTCCTTATCTTTAACCCTGGGTAATGTAATTATGATGTGCCTTGGTGTGTGCTTCCTTGGGCCCACCTTCTTTGGGACTCTGAGCTTCCTGGACTTCCTGGAAGTCTATTTCCTTGGCAAGATTGGGGAAGTTCTCCTTCATTATTTTTTCAAAAACGTTTTCAATTTCTTGCTCCTCCTCTTTTCCTTCTGGCGCCCCTATGATTCACATGTTGGAATGTTTAAAGTTGTCCCAGAGGCTCCTCATAAGCCACTCCTCATGTTTTTGAATTCTTATTTCTTCCCTCTGTTCTGGTTGAATGACTGTTCATTCTTAAGGTACAATAACTTTCATGTGGTTATTTTTAAATAGCCTTTTTAAAGAGAGGACTATAAATATTTAGTGATGAAGTACAGAGTGTCTGGGATGAGTGTAAAAACACTGCAGTGGTCTACCCTACCAGGAATACTATCTGGCTGTACAAAAGAATAAGGAACTGCTTGATGCTACAACGTGGGAGGACCTCAAAATGCGCTCGGTAAAGAAGTCAGACACAAAAGAGCACATACTGCATGGTTCCATTTGTATGATTTGCTCAGAAATGGCAGATCTAGACACAGAACACAGTTTGGGGTGGCCTGGGGCTGGGCGTCAGAAGGGTCTACACATGAGGTTTCTTCTTGGGGTGGTAGAAAAGTTCAAGAACAAGATAGTGGTGAAACATGCACACTCTATAAATATAATAAAAATAAACTGAGTCGTATATTGAAACAGGTGACTTTTCTGGTGTGTAAATTATGTCGATAAAGTCGTTAACAAAGAAGCATTCTCTGGAGAGGGCAGGCGGAGACTGAGGAAAGAGCGAGCAGACTGAGCAGGACTTGATATCTGGTGGAAGCAGGTGATGTACGTCCCAAACGCGAAAAAGGGTTCCCAGGCAAAGCAGAGAGCCACAATGGGCCAGGGCGTTACTGCCTTGGACGCTTTGTACCCAGGGGCCTCTTAGATGGACAGGGACTGTCCTGAGACTTGCGTTTCCTGCGTGCGGACCATCCCTGTCCTGGGCTGTTCCATGGACAATGCACAGGTCAGAGGCTGAGGTTTTATGGTCTGCTCTGGGGGAGACTCTAGAGACTCGACTATTGAGACCTGTCCTGAGCCCAACCCTGGAGGCCCTTCAGCCCCCACTCACCAGTCAGGCCCACAGTGGACACGGGGCCCACGCGCCGGCCCCCGTGCAGGCCGTACAGGTGCATCTTGTACTTGCGCCCCGGCTCCAGGCCCCGCACGGTGACCTCTCTCTCCTCACCCCCGGCACGCACCGCCTGGGGCCGCCCGTCCCTGTCCTTGTACTGGACGGTGAAGGAGTCGAAGTGGCCCTGGGGGACGGACCAGGAGAGGCTCAGCGAGTCCGGGGAGGATCCTGTCACTGTCAGCTCCCCCAGGAGGGGCTCCTCGGGGAGCTCTGGGGCGGCCTCCGTGCTGGGTTCCGTGGGGCTGGGCGTCTCTTCCTCTGCAGCTGAGAAGGACAGACACAGGGAGGGTGGGGCAGGGTCCGTGGAGATGTCCTCGGTCTTCTCCCAGGCCGCGGTCGTGCCTGGACCCCGAGGTCCCCGCGGAGAAGCCCCTCCTGGGGGCTGGGAGGTCCTGCTCCGTCCAGCCTCACAAACGTGCCCAGGGCCTCGGGGTCGGCTGTGGGGAGCCGGGCAGCCACCAGCGCAGCTCACAGAGGCCTTTCTCTGCCCCGGGGGCCCCGCCCTGGTCCTCGGGGAGCCCACGGGGAGGCGCCAAGGGCACCGCGGCGCAGCCTGCAGCACCTCGAGCACAGGCGCCCCCTGCACCCCACTCACCCATCGCGGAGTGCCATCGCCCTGCCGGCGCCCGCCCTGCGGCGCCCACCGTCCACTCACCCGTCACCCCGACGGCGGAGACGGGGCCCTGGCGCTGGCCGTCGTGGAAGCCATACAGGTTCATCTTGTACTTGTGGTCTGGCTCCAGGCCCGAGACGGTGACCCCGTCCTCGTGTCCTGGCACCCGCAGCGCCTTGGGCTGCCCGTCCCCGTTCTTGTACTGGACCAGGAAGTGGTCAAACTGTCCCTCGGGCACGGTCCAGGAGAGGCTCAGCGAGTCCGGGGAGGACCCTGTCACCGTCAGCTCCCCCAGGCGCGGCTTGATGGGAGGCTCGGGGGTCAGGGTGGGCGGAACTTGGGTGGGCCCAGCTTCGTAATCTGGAGCTGGACGAGAAGGACAGAGACGTGGGGGACAGGTGAGGTCTCCTCAGTCCTCAGTTCAGCATATCAGGGGCCTACTGCAAAAATAAGATAGTAAGGAACAGACTCTTGCCGTCCACAGTGGCTCTCACTCTGAGTCTTTCTGGTCCCATTAGTGTGTCCTGTCTTACTGTCACCCCCTCCTCCCTCACGGTGCCTCCCTCCTCCCTCGCCTCACCTACGCCGACCAATGTCCCTGTGACCTCTCCCTCTCCTCCAGCACCTGCCTCTCCTCTGAACACAGGTGCACGCGGCCACCATGCCCTGGTCTCCCTCCACTGGGGTCTCAGTGGCATCTCACTCCCTTTGGCTCACGACTTTGCTCCCGCACAGCTCAGAACTGCTCCCGCACAAGGCACCCGCGGTCTTCCTGGTTCTGTTCCTGTCCTTAGCTGCCATTGGACTCAGAGTGTTCCATTTTTCCCAAAGTTTCTGTCGTGCCGCCTCACTCCCCACACCTGCAGCCCAGCCGTCCTGGTTAGGGCCACCCTCACCTCTCACCTGGTGTCTCTGCCTCCCTCCCGCCCCCTCTGCACAGGGGACCAGAATGGGACTTCAGGTGCACGGCTGATGGAATCAGTCTTACTTAAAACTGTGCACAACCCTCTGAGTCCCCAGAGGAGTCCCTGCTTCCTGAGCTGCTCTTAGCTCTCCACCCCCATCTCGAGACTGACGCCCTACTCGGAGCATTTCACCCAAAACGCTCTCGTGTGCCCTAGTGTTCCTAGTTCCCAGGCCTTTGCACCAGCTGCAACACTTTATCTGACACACTTGTCATCCTTTCGCAATATCACTATGCTGACACCTGCCTGACCTCAGGTCTCAGCGGTCCCTTGGGTGACTGGACAGGCTGGCGTAGGTCTCAGTGCCCCGGACTTCCTGTCATATCCATGTCCCCCTTCGCCTGACTTGCTGGTTCACAGCCTGTCCTCCATGACTGTGAGCCCCATTAGTATGAGACCTTGTCTCTCTGCCAAGTTCAAGGCTGACCCCTGTGAAGTCCCACAGCGCTTGGCTCAGGACGCACCCACCTTAGTTGGCCCATTATAATCATAAGTCTGGTAATGTCTGGACCACGAGGCTGGGGCGCTGCAGACAAGATGCTGCTTTCTGAGCACCTCCTGTCCTCCGCCACGGCTTCTAGTCACGCCACAGAGGCTGAGTCTCTAGGACACACCAGGGATGCCAGTATGATTCCCTCCCACAAATTCTAAGAACGTGTCGATCCCTTGGTTGTGAGGAGATGCTACCAAAGCGCGGCCTTCAGAGCAGCAGCAGCCGCATCCCGGAGGATCTCGTTAGGGAGGCGGAATCTCTGGTCCCAGCCCAAATCTGCTGAAAGAGTCTGCCCTTTACCAAGATCCCCAGGCCACTGATGTGCAAAAGGCGACATGCAGGTGGGCATATTGTTGTTTTCACAAAGATGGTAATAAAGGGAAAGTCTTCCGGGGCCAGTCCTCCCTGCCCTGCCTGCCTCGCCCCCACTCACCAGTCAGGACCACAGTGGACACGGGGCCCACGCGCCGGCCCCCGTGCAGGCCGTACAGGTGCATCTTGTACTTGCGCCCCGGCTCCAGGCCCCGCACGGTGACCTCTCTCTCCTCACCCCCGGCACGCACCGCCTGGGGCCGCCCGTCCCTGTCCTTGTACTGGACGGTGAAGGAGTCGAAGTGGCCCTGGGGGACGGACCAGGAGAGGCTCAGCGAGTCCGGGGAGGATCCTGTCACTGTCAGCTCCCCCAGGAGGGGCTCCTCGGGGGGCTCTGGGGCGGCCTCCGTGCTGGGTTCCGTGGGGCTGGAGGTCTCATCCACTTCAGTGGGGAAGGGAGTCTCATCCTCATCCACCTGGGGAGCTAAGTAAAGAGATTGGGGTAGAGGCTTAGGTGGCGACTTGCATTTCTGGTGATGTCTGTAGGGACAGCAAAGACCATCCTGCTGAAATACTGTTCAAGCTCCAGAATTTACTGCTGGCATATCCTCCTTGGTGGAGAGAGCTGACAGGCTCCCAAACCCCCCATCACATGCCCATTGGCATAAACCTCCAGAAAGTAGTTTGGAGACATGCCAGGAGCCAAAATAATCCTCATTTGCTTTGACCCAATAATCTTATTTCTGGGAAGCTAGCCTAAGAAAATTATTAAAAAGCAGGAAATAGTTGTATCACAAGAATTCATTACGGGATCATTCATGACAGCAAAATGTGTCAAGGGATCAAGAGACCCCCAGGAGGTGATTAATTTTGTTGTGGCGCTTTCACCATGAAGCATCAAATGACCATCAAAGTGATGACTGATGCTGGTTGTGTAGCCACAGGATAAATGCTCACAGTGTCACCTTGGTACAAAAGAAAGTCATAGCCAAGAATTAGATTTCTCTGCAACTCTCAAAAATGCAGAGAGGATGTTATGTACATTGTTGCGTATGGTGATTATTGGGTCAAAAGGTGATCTGATGAGAGGTATTTTCCTTGTTTTCAAACTTTCCATCATGTTGCTATATTCTTTTCACTAGAAAAATACAGATTTAAAGAGAAATCCTGGATTATCAAAATAAATAATCTGGTAGAAGGTGTGGAGGGGTGACATGGGTCTGCTCTATTTTGTATGTTTGGGATTCACCTTATTAAAAGGTAAAAGACCTGAGCAGTGAATGAGAATTAACAGCTTACCTTCAGGGTATGAATTGCTCTAATGTACATTTTCTAATGAAGTCCCTATTCTCCCCTCCCCCAACACTCCTGGGAACACAGGCATAGATGAGGCCCATCGCTCGGGGAGTCAGGAAGGCTGAATGAAATGAGTCCTCTGTGCGCAGTATCTTCAGGAGAGGCGTGGGAACGCCATGGAGCTGCTCGATTGGTGTTGCAGAGGCAGCAGCCTGCCGTCCCAAGGCTCCATCTCGCAGGGGTCGGTTCTTCCACACGCAGAGGAACTTGAGCGAAATCCTCTCACCAGGCATGAGAATCTAGCTGACGGTGACTTAGAAAAGCCGACCTGATTGCACGGTTGGAATGATTTCACCTTGTAATTTTTTTCCCCCTTATTACTTAGGGACTAGAAATTGTCTTTCTCATAATTAGAAATGAAATACGTTGCAAGAGTGATTGGGGTAAAAGACAAGCAGTACAAGAGAGAAGACATTATCTTTAAAACATTTTCCCTGATTGTAAAGGAAATGCATGTCATTTAAGAAAATTTGGATAACACAGAATAGGATAAGACATTTTTTAAAAAAGTTCTGGAACATTCTATTCTGTCCCGCAAACATGCATCCTGTGGGATGTATTTCCTTCCAGTGTTCTTCCCATGCATGTTATTTTCAAGCAGTTTTGGTCAGCACTTTTACAAAAATTGTGGGCTCTTTGTTTCAATGTAATATTTTAAAGTCATTGTCTTACATTAAAACATTTCAATGATGGCCTAATAGCTCTTCTTATAGGTGTTGTCAAACTATTTAACCATCCCATTATAGCTGGATGTTGGGTTCTTTCTTCCTTTCCTTTATTTAAAAAACATTTTTTTATTTTTCGTTACAACAAAGAATGTTATAACTAAGTAGGAAAAAAAACTCTGGTAAGTCTGTCATGGCCTGTTCCTGACATATTTAGCTTGCAAAGGAGGCCCATGGCTGACTAACAGGAGGACTCCACGCAAGAATGGATGATGACACTGTAGGGTGGCAAAGGCTAAACCGCTAGGCATGGCCCTGGGCCCAGGGTCACAGAGGGTGGGTGTGAAAGGGGAGCTGGGCCAGGACTCTTAGGGGCTGGGGAAATAGCAGAACAGTCAACGAGGTTACTACTCATGAGAAAAAAGTAGTTATCTACTGAGAGCCCCCAAGTACCCCCTCACTCACCAGTCAGGCCCAGAGTGGACACCGGGCCCGCGCGCCGGCCCCCGTGCAGGCCGTACAGGTGCATCTTGTACTTGCGCCCCGGCTCCAGGCCCCGCACGGTGACCTCTCTCTCCTCACCCCCGGCACGCACCACCTGGGGCCGCCCGTCCCTGTCCTTGTACTGGACGGTGAAGGAGTCGAAGTGGCCCTGGGGGACGGACCAGGAGAGGCTCAGCGAGTCCGGGGAGGATCCTGTCACTGTCAGCTCCCCCAGGAGGGGCTCCTCGGGGGGCTCTGGGGCGGCCTCCGTGCTGGGTTCCGTGGGGCTGGAGGTCTCATCCACTTCAGTGGGGAAGGGAGTCTCATCCTCATCCACCTGGGGAGCTAAGTAAAGAGATTGGGGTAGAGGCTTAGGTGGCGACTTGCATTTCTGGTGATGTCTGTAGGGACAGCAAAGACCATCCTGCTGAAATACTGTTCAAGCTCCAGAATTTACTGCTGGCATATCCTCCTTGGTGGAGAGAGCTGACAGGCTCCCAAACCCCCCATCACATGCCCATTGGCATAAACCTCCAGAAAGTAGTTTGGAGACATGCCAGGAGCCAAAATAATCCTCATTTGCTTTGACCCAATAATCTTATTTCTGGGAAGCTAGCCTAAGAAAATTATTAAAAAGCAGGAAATAGTTGTATCACAAGAATTCATTACGGGATCATTCATGACAGCAAAATGTGTCAAGGGATCAAGAGACCCCCAGGAGGTGATTAATTTTGTTGTGGCGCTTTCACCATGAAGCATCAAATGACCATCAAAGTGATGACTGATGCTGGTTGTGTAGCCACAGGATAAATGCTCACAGTGTCACCTTGGTACAAAAGAAAGTCATAGCCAAGAATTAGATTTCTCTGCAACTCTCAAAAATGCAGAGAGGATGTTATGTACATTGTTGCGTATGGTGATTATTGGGTCAAAAGGTGATCTGATGAGAGTTATTTTCCTTGTTTTCAAACTTTCCATCATGTTGCTATATTCTTTTCACTAGAAAAATACAGATTTAAAGAGAAATCCTGGATTATCAAAATAAATAATCTGGTAGAAGGTGTGGAGGGGTGACATGGGTCTGCTCTATTTTGTATGTTTGGGATTCACCTTATTAAAAGGTAAAAGACCTGAGCAGTGAATGAGAATTAACAGCTTACCTTCAGGGTATGAATTGCTCTAATGTACATTTTCTAATGAAGTCCCTATTCTCCCCTCCCCCAACACTCCTGGGAACACAGGCATAGATGAGGCCCATCGCTCGGGAGTCAGGAAGGCTGAATGAAATGAGTCCTCTGTGCGCAGTATCTTCAGGAGAGGCGTGGGAACGCCATGGAGCTGCTCGATTGGTGTTGCAGAGGCAGCAGCCTGCCGTCCCAAGGCTCCATCTCGCAGGGGTCGGTTCTTCCACACGCAGAGGAACTTGCGCGAAATCCTCTCACCAGGCATGAGAATCTAGCTGACGATGACTTAGAAAAGCCGACCTGATTGCACGGTTGGAATGATTTCACCTTGTAATTTTTTTCCCCCTTATTACTTAGGGACTAGAAATTGTCTTTCTCATAATTAGAAATGAAATACGTTGCAAGAGTGATTGGGGTAAAAGACAAGCAGTACAAGAGAGAAGACATTATCTTTAAAACATTTTCCCTGATTGTAAAGGAAATGCATGTCATTTAAGAAAATTTGGATAACACAGAATAGGATAAGACATTTTTTAAAAAAGTTCTGGAACATTCTATTCTGTCCCGCAAACATGCATCCTGTGGGATGTATTTCCTTCCAGTGTTCTTCCCACGCCTGTTATTTTCAAGCAGTTTTGGTCAGCACTTTTACAAAAATTGTGGGCTCTTTTTTTCAATGTAATATTTTAAAGTCATTGTCTTACATTAAAACATTTCAATGATGGCCTAATAGCTCTTCTTATAGGTGTTGTCAAACTATTTAACCATCCCATTATAGCTGGATGTTGGGTTCTTTCTTCCTTTCCTTTATTTAAAAAACATTTTTTTATTTTTCGTTACAACAAAGGATGTTATAACTAAGTAGGAAAAAAAACTCTGGTAAGTCTGTCATGGCCTGTTCCTGACATATTTAGCTTGCAAAGGAGGCCCATGGCTGACTAACAGGAGGACTCCACACAAGAATGGATGATGACACTGTAGGGTGGCAAAGGCTAAACCGCTAGGCATGGCCCTGGGCCCAGGGTCACAGAGGGTGGGTGTGAAAGGGGAGCTGGGCCAGGACTCTTAGGGGCTGGGGAAATAGCAGAACAGTCAACGAGGTTACTACTCATGAGAAAAAAGTAGTTATCTACTGAGAGCCCCCAAGTACCCCCTCACTCACCAGTCAGGCCCAGAGTGGACACCGGGCCCGCGCGCCGGCCCCCGTGCAGGCCGTACAGGTGCATCTTGTACTTGCGCCCCGGCTCCAGGCCCCGCACGGTGACCTCTCTCTCCTCACCCCCGGCACGCACCGCCTGGGGCCGCCCGTCCCTGTCCTTGTACTGGACGGTGAAGGAGTCGAAGTGGCCCTGGGGGACGGACCAGGAGAGGCTCAGCGAGTCCGGGGAGGATCCTGTCACTGTCAGCTCCCCCAGGAGGGGCTCCTCGGGGGGCTCTGGGGCGGCCTCCGTGCTGGGTTCCGTGGGGCTGGGCGTCTCTTCCTCTGCAGCTGAGAAGGACAGACACAGGGAGGGTGGGGCAGGGTCCGTGGAGATGTCCTCGGTCTTCTCCCAGGCCGCGGTCGTGCCTGGACCCCGAGGTCCCCGCGGAGAAGCCCCTCCTGGGGGCTGGGAGGTCCTGCTCCGTCCAGCCTCACAAACGTGCCCAGGGCCTCGGGGTCGGCTGTGGGGAGCCGGGCAGCCACCAGCGCAGCTCACAGAGGCCTTTCTCTGCCCCGGGGGCCCCGCCCTGGTCCTCGGGGAGCCCACGGGGAGGCGCCAAGGGCACCGCGGCGCAGCCTGCAGCACCTCGAGCACAGGCGCCCCCTGCACCCCACTCACCCATCGCGGAGTGCCATCGCCCTGCCGGCGCCCGCCCTGCGGCGCCCACCGTCCACTCACCCGTCACCCCGACGGCGGAGACGGGGCCCTGGCGCTGGCCGTCGTGGAAGCCATACAGGTTCATCTTGTACTTGTGGTCTGGCTCCAGGCCCGAGACGGTGACCCCGTCCTCGTGTCCCGGCACCCGCAGCGCCTTGGGCTGCCCGTCCCCGTTCTTGTACTGGACCAGGAAGTGGTCAAACTGTCCCTCGGGCACGGTCCAGGAGAGGCTCAGCGAGTCCGGGGAGGACCCTGTCACCGTCAGCTCCCCCAGGCGCGGCTTGATGGGTGGCTCGGGGGTCACGGTGGAAGGTTCTGAAGGTTTACCCTCTTCTTTCCTTGGGACTAAACAGAGACGAGAGAGAGGACCTTGATGAGGGGCAGGTGTCCACGAGGCCTCTGCTCTCCTCTCAGCTGACATGCTATTTGGAAGGAAGCAGGGTGGGCAGAGTTCCTCTTGCTCACCTGTCAGGGATTCCACCTGGATAGGACCGAGACGCTGCTGGCCATGGAGACCGTACACATTCACCAGGTATCTGCGGTTGGATTCCAGTCCAGAGAGGGTGATGTCATTCCGGTTGCCCCCTACCCTGACAACTTGGAGTTGCCCATCCTTGTCTATGTACTGGACCTCGAAGGAGTCAAATTCTCCCTTAGTGACCGTCCAGGAGAGGTTTAACGTGTGTGGGGTGGCCTCATTCACGGTCAGCTCCCCAAGATGTGGCTCAGACTGTGGAGGGTTTGGGGCCGTGGCTTCAGCTCCGATTTCTTCCCTAGGGGCTGGTTCAGAGAGATAGGTAGAGCTGGGTGATGGGTCTGTTGCTGTACTAGGTCTCCAAGGGGAGGGCAGGAGGGCAGGAAGTAAAGGCAAGTGATCAGTGATAAAGGGGGCCAACTATTGATACACAGGGAGGAATTTCAAAAGCATGATGTTAAGTGCAAGAAGCCAAACACAAATGACTATGTACTGTGTGATTCTGCAAATGAAATGCTTCAAAAGTCAAAACAATCATGAGAGAAAGCAATCCGCAGTGCCAGAGGCTGGCAGGAGTGGAACTGGCTGCTAGGGACACAGCAAACTTTGGGGTCCAGAGAAATGTTCTACAGTTCAGTTGAGATAATGATTTCATGACATGCTTTTGCTCAAACTCATTGAAATATTCCCTTCAAATGGGTGAATTTTATTGTACATAAATTATGCCTCCATATACCTGATCCCTTTCCCTAAACAAAGGGATGTAGGAAGCCCAGAAATGGTGTGGCTGGGTGAGGCCAGGAAAGCCTGGCAGGGAGGAGGAGCAATCTTTCTGGCCACAGCCACACTCACCAGTCACAGCGACCGCAGCGATGGGCCCCACACGCCGGCCATCATGCAGCCCATAGAGAAGCAGCTTGTACCTGCGGGAGGAGTCCAGGCCCGAGACCCTGACCTCCCTGAGGCTGCCCTCCACGGGCACCACCTGGGGCTGCCCGTCTCTGTCCTTGTAGTGGACCACGAAGGAGTCAAACTGGCCCTCAGGGACCGTCCACGCAAGGCCCACGGAGTCCGGTGTCACGCTGGTCACCTGTAGCTCCTCTCCCAGATGGGGTTTTGGGGGACGCTTTGTTCTAGCATCATCCACAGCACCCTGGGTCTCTGAAATGCAGACACAGAGGAAATGGCTGAGATGTTCCTGGAAGTCTGGGTGACCTTGAAGGGCAGGAGTGAGAGGTCTGGGGCCTGGGCTTTGATGCATGAATCCCAAAGGGCTGGTGCTATGGGCTTATGCAAGGAGACAGGGGAAGCCCAAGCGGCTGGAACCAGATAACAACTGTGATGGCAGCCAGCACAAGTGACCGCCTGTAGCCCTGGCCTGGCAGAGTGCCAGCCGCTCCCCAGGGCCTCCAGGAATGGAAGCAGACCCTGCAGGGGATGCCCTCACCTGTGGTACCATCAGCGGTGAGGGGGCCGTGGCGTTTCTTGCCCAGGAGGCCATAGAGGAGGAATCTGTACTTGCGGCCGCTGTCCAGGGGGGTGATGGTGACGGAGCGTTCATGACCTGCCACGGGCACTATCCGGGGCCCATCCCTGTCCTTGAACTGGACTACAAAGGAGTCGAAGTGGCCCTCAGGGACTGTCCAGGAGAGGTGCAGTGAGTCCGTGGTAGGGTCTGTCACCCACAGCTCCCCGAGGGAGGGCGTGGCCCCTGGGCTGGCATCGCCTTGGGCAGCTGACAGAAAGGAACAATTCTTGTGTTTATCGTCCAAAGTCACTCCTTGACTGCCTCTCACTGGAGTTGGAAAAACCCAAAACTTCCCAAATGATCACTGCTTCCCCCACATCTTTCTGTCATCCGCCCAGGGCCACCACCATCCCCAGCTGGCCTGTGCCTCTGTCCACTTAAGCAATCAGGAGGGGTCCTCTGTCCTGAGACACCTCTGGGAAAAGAGATCCCCTAGCTTGCAACTTATTCCTCTTGCTATCCAGATTCTTCCTACCAATTAGAGACTAGTTCCTAGCAGGATGCAGCATGTCACAGGCTTGGTGTGTTTGTGTCCTTTTACCAAGGAGCCCATTCTTTGTGATTTGACTGCCTATGGGGAAATCTGAGGGTCCTGGGGACATCAGTCAGGTGGGGCCACAAGATCCCTGGTGGAGGCACACAGCAGGTAGGGAGGCATGATGTTGTGAGGGAGACGATCCTCATTGGCCTTGGTGGAAGGGGGCTGCCTATGCCTGAGGGGAGTCAGGGAGAAAGTGGGGAGCTCAGACAGGAAAGGAATCTGGTGTCAGCCCAAAAGCCATCCTGAAGCCAGAGAAGGAGCTGGCCTGCTGCCTTCCTAGACAGCAAGGACGCTGATGGCATTGTTATTGCAAGAGTTTTTGACAACAGGGAGCCCCCTGAGGCAGGAGAGGGCCTGGACCAAAAACCAGGAAAGGGGCAGAGCTGGGCAGCCAGCCCTGGCCTCCTAGGGTCCCCAATTTCTGAGACTCCAATAAGAGGACAGGGGAGGAAAGATATGGGACCTGATGGACCTGAGCCAATAGGGTAAGAAATTGGGTGAGAGTCAGAGGGCAGAGAGCAAAACTCTCAGGGAGTGATGGTGCCACAGGGCTGAGGACCTGCAGGGCCCCGGGAGGCAGGGAGGCTCCGTTCCCTTCACTGCCTTCCCAGGACCTGCTCCCCATGCCCTTCCACCCAGGATGGGACCCGAAGGGTCTTCCCCCATTCCATAGGAGTAGGGATTATGAGAAGACTGCGAGAGCCATCAAGGGGCCGGATCCAGGACTGGCCCACTGTCCTGGCTCTCACGTGCCTTGGACCAGGCAGCTTTGCCAATGAAACAGGAGGACAGGGGGAGGCCTGGCAGGTGGGACAGGAGACCAGGCAGTATGAAGAGGGGCCCCAGGCTCAGCCTCAGGGGGTCCCTCTCACCTGTCTTTGCCTCCACAGAGACAGGGCAGAGTGGTTTCCCTTTCTGGATCCCAAAGAGCAGGAACTTGTATTTCCTGTTGGGCTCTAGGCTTCTGACAGTGACCTCTAGCTGGTCTGTGGCCACAGGCACCACGTGGGGCTGCCCATCCCTGTCATTGTACTGGACCACAAAGGAGTCCAATTCGCCCTCAGGAACCACCCATGAGAAGAGTGGCAGGGGTCAGTCCGTCACTGTCAGCACCCCCAGGTGTGGCTCCTGGGGGGACTCTGTGCCTGGGCTGGCGGGAGGGGCACTGGGATGGGGAAGACGAAGAACAGGGCTGAGATTTCTGGAGGGACAACTCTCCCTATAGGGCTTTGGGCTCCCAGGACCTCAGAAGCCTCGAACTGAGAAGGGAGACAGTTATATCTTTATTTTCACTGACCTCTAACTGAAATTAGCATTTCCTTCAATGACGAACATAGGAAACCAACCATGGTGTGTACTAGAAGTACCTGTGACTCCGTCACCCATATCAACACGGCTGTTTCCACGTCAACCTAGAATTACTGCAGAGACTTCACAATATGGGTTATAGTCGTCACTACTTCCGAATGTGACACTAAGTCTTGCTATTTAATGAATGAATAAAAATGTTTCTGCGTTACTAAATCTTAAACTTAAATTTAAAACTGTTTTTCTTAAATTTAAAACTTTTTATTAACTGTATATCAATATAATTGATTTCCCTTCTAATGCTATGCATTTTATTTTCTAGTTTTAAAAAATTGCTCTGAAAAAAAACAAACCCCATTGTTCTGAAGGGGATCCAAGCTTTTCACCAGACACCGTGGCACAACGATGGTGGAAGACCGTGTTCAGGAAGCTGTGGGGGGGCGGGGGAGGCCCTGGAGGCTGAGAGCAAGGGCCACTTCTAGAGGGGCTGCTGACAAGGGACTCAAGGGATGAGTGCCATTTAACCCCAACAAAATAGGGCAGCGGGGGAGGTGGCAACCATGTCCAAGTCACAGGGGCTTATAAAGAGAAGGAAAGAAACAACTGTGGACAGTCAGAGAGGGAGACCACCTGTACTGGATTTGGGCCTGAGGGAGGGGCTCGGTGGAGATGAGGAGGGAGGGCAGGGAAGGTTCCAGCCTGGGGGAGGGGCCAAGGGAAGAGACTAAGACGCCTGTGACCCCAGGAAAACCTGCAGAGGCCACCAAGGCAGGACCCAAAAGAGAGTTTGTGGGCAGGGGACTCTGGATAACCAGTGTTGGGGCCTGCCTGGCCCCGCACTCACCCGTCGCAGCTACCACAGAGAGAGGGCCTATGCGCTGCCCACCATGGAGCCCATAGATGTGCATCCTGTATTTGTGTGCAGGTTCCAGGCCAGTGATAGTGGCCTCATGCTGGTCTGCGGCCACAGGAATGACCTGGAGCTCCCCATCCCTGTTCTTGTACTGGACCATGAAGGAGTCAAACTGGCCCTCAGGGACTGTCCACACGAGGCCCATGGAGGTGGGGGTCACATCTGTCACTGTCAGGACCCCCAGGTGTGGCTCCAGGGGAGGGTTGGTGGCTGCAGGAGTCTCTTCTAGTTGTGGCGCTGCAACAGAGATTGTGGGAGGCTGTTAGGAAAAGCTCTCCTTTCCCTTGGTGGTAATTATGTCTGTTGTTTCTGTGGTGCCTATGAGGTGGGTCTGATGTAAAACTAAACTGATTGGCAACATCTGTCTGGCCAACAGCCCTTCACTAAGTCCTTGCCAGGCTCTGGGGCTGTGCTTCAGGGGAGTGGTATCAGCTGTCACTGAGACCTAGGAAAGTGGCTGAGCTTCCTATCCGTCCCTCAATGGCTTCCCCACTGTCTACACCTTCATGATGACCTCCAGACTATTCAGCATCTTCCTTGGGTGCCTCATCAAGGTCTCAAATTCAACAGTCCAAACACAAGCACAGAGGCTCCTCTCACACCTGCCATCTCCTGGCCTCCCCACCTTACAGCCACTGCTGCCTTCCCAGGGCCATTCTCAGTCCTCTCCGACCCCCAGCCCATCCCAGGAGCAAGTCCTGTGGAAGCGACCTGCAGAAGCTGACCCTCCTCACGAACTCCCGTGCTACCATCTCCAGGTACCACCAGCTCCTGTGGGGTTATAGACAGTCCCCTAAATCACCTCCCTCTTGCACCCTTACCCCTTCCTCTCTGTTCCGCGCTAACACGTTAGTCAGAGACATTCCTGCCATGGCGTCCATATCACTCAGAGCAAAGGCCAAGTCCTTCCCTGGCTTGTGTGGCTCAGTCGATTGAGTGCTGGCCTGAGAACCAAAGGGTCACCAGTTTGATTCCCGGTCAAGGCACATGCCTGGGTTGCAGGCCAGGTCCCCAGCAGGGGGCGCATGAGAGGCAACCACACATTGATGTTTCCCTCCCTCCCTTTCTCCTTCTCTCCCCCTCTCTAAAAATAAATAAATAAAATCTTAAAAAAAAAAAAAGCCAAGTCCTTATGATGGCCTTGAGGTCCAACACATTCATCTCTCACCACCCCCCCCCCCCAAATTCCAGAACATTCCTTGCTGGTCCATGGACATTTGAGCACCTTCCCTCTACCCTGAGTGCTTATCCCCAAGGATCTCCGTGGCTTGTCCTCTCCCTCCTTCAGCCTTTCCTCAGCCTGGCCCTTTTCCTCCACCTTCCCACCCACTGACCTACTGGCCTTGGCTTTTCTCCCCAGCTTGTCACTGTTACTATGGTACCACTGAAATATCTGAAATTGGGTGCCTGTCTCCCTCCACATGCAGGAGCTCTGGCTGTTCACTGTGGTGTCCCCAGCACCTAGCCCCCAGAACCCAGCAGGTGCTCCCCAATCTTTGCTATTGAGTACTCTGCATGGCCGAGCTAGGGAAAGCCAAACTCAGGACCCCTTTGTTCCCACTGCCCAGAATGAGTTGAGCCTGGGAGGCACTGCACCAGTGACTGAACCTGGAAGGTGGTCCCAAGAGGCAATTGGCAGGGTTGGGGGTTGGGGGATAGGGTTTCCAGTAGCTTATTTCTCTGGCTCCTGTAGAGAAGACTAGGTTCCAGACCCATAAAACCTGCTTTAAAAATGAGCTGCTAATGAGGTCTTAGGAAGACAGAGATGAGTCTTAAGTGGGGAGGACAGGGACAAAGGCACCTAAAGGGGTAGGAGGGGTCACTGCTGAGCAGCAAAGAGGCCCAGGTGCCAGGCCGGGCACTGGACTTCATTTCATTTGCCTTCTGTCTCTGCTAGTTCCTGCAGCATCCACTCCCTGCTCATTTCTGCCCTCTCTGCACTTCTTTCCATGAGAAAGAGAAATTGTCCCTCACCATCAAATCTTATTGTTGGTGGTTTGGCTTAACTCGGAAGATGGGATTAGAGCTACCCATGGGTATGGAAGTCCCAAGGCTGCCTTTGGTATAACCTTTTTCCAGCTTAGCAATGTTTCTCACTAGCTGCACGCATTTCTTCTCCTGCCAGGCATGGGCCTCAGTCAGCCCGGTGACCTCCCGTGATAATGACCAGCCTGCTCGACCTCACAGTTGGGAGCCTGGAATGGAACCCAGCCTGTCAGATTCCAGAACTCAATTTTCCTCACTGCAAAGTCTGTGCCCAACACAGCCCATCCTTACCCAGGGACCAGAGATGGCCTTGCAGAGCTCAGTGTGGCTGCCCAGGACAGACGGGTGGACTGAGGGTCACCCATGGAGAAACCTCGGCCTCATGTTCTGGGCCTGGCACAAGCCTCCACCCTGCAACAGGCAGGCCTCAGGGTAGCTTCCCCCTCTTTCTACTCTCAGTGCTGACTAAAGAAAAGAAATCGGGAGTGGGGAGTGGAAAGTTCTGGAAACTAAGCCAACCAAGTCAGAGCGAGGCTGGGCTTTGGGGAAATACAGAAACCTAGCTCTGGAAACCTCTCTGTTCTTCTGCTTTCAAGTTTGTGCCCTTTTCCCTTATGGTAAAAGTTGTTTTTCAAAAATGTGTCTTTCTTTCAGTGGACTAAGGGGGAAAGAGATTCCTCCTTGCTGTGACCAAACTGGGCAGGTCAGCAGGAGGCTCCCAGAGGCCACCTACTATTTGGGCCCTTGTGCTGAGGCTCCAGAGAGGAGGTGCCCCGGCTGCATCATTCATGGTGGCCAAGATGGCCTGCGCCTGGGCCCGAGAGAGGGGTGGAGGGATGTTCTTCCTTGCTGTAAAGGTGTTCACTGGGTGAGTGGTGAAGAAAGCTTATAGTGTGCTGATGAAGGAGCCAATATCTCATGCTCACTCTGACCAACTGAGAAGCTGGAGCAGCCAGCCCGAGTAAGGATAATTATAATAATCATAGTGGCAGACACTGACAGCAAGCTCTGTCTATGCTAAGCCTTTCTTAGTGCTTCAAGTTGCTAACTCACAGGGTCCTCACACCAGTTCTGTGAGGTAGGCATTATGATCCCCATTTTACAAATGAGGAAACAGAGGCACAGAAGGTTTAAGATGTGTTCAAGGTTGTACAGCTGGCTGTAGACCACCCTCGAACTGCTCTACCTAGGTCTTCCCCAAGCAAGTGAGGCCATGTGGTCCTCAGCAGCAAGGACAGCTATCACTATAGGGAGGCTAGGGGCACCAGTGGGAGGGAAATGAGCCAGGCCCCGCCCCACTCACCAGTCAGGCCCACAGTGGACACGGGGCCCGCGCGCCGGCCCCCGTGCAGGCCGTACAGGTGCATCTTGTACTTGCGCCCCGGCTCCAGGCCCCGCACGGTGACCTCTCTCTCCTCACCCCCGGCACGCACCGCCTGGGGCCGCCCGTCCCTGTCCTTGTACTGGACGGTGAAGGAGTCGAAGTGGCCCTGGGGGACGGACCAGGAGAGGCTCAGCGAGTCCGGGGAGGATCCTGTCACTGTCAGCTCCCCCCAGGAGGGGCTCCTCGGGGGGCTCTGGGGCGGCCTCCGTGCTGGGTTCCGTGGGGCTGGGCGTCTCTTCCTCTGCAGCTGAGAAGGACAGACACAGGGAGGGTGGGGCAGGGTCCGTGGAGATGTCCTCGGTCTTCTCCCAGGCCGCGGTCGTGCCTGGACCCCGAGGTCCCCGCGGAGAAGCCCCTCCTGGGGGCTGGGAGGTCCTGCTCCGTCCAGCCTCACAAACGTGCCCAGGGCCTCGGGGTCGGCTGTGGGGAGCCGGGCAGCCACCAGCGCAGCTCACAGAGGCCTTTCTCTGCCCCGGGGGCCCCGCCCTGGTCCTCGGGGAGCCCACGGGGGAGGCGCCAAGGGCACCGCGGCGCAGCCTGCAGCACCTCGAGCACAGGCGCCCCCTGCACCCCACTCACCCATCGCGGAGTGCCATCGCCCTGCCGGCGCCCGCCCTGCGGCGCCCACCGTCCACTCACCCGTCACCCCGACGGCGGAGACGGGGCCCTGGCGCTGGCCGTCGTGGAAGCCATACAGGTTCATCTTGTACTTGTGGTCTGGCTCCAGGCCCGAGACGGTGACCCCGTCCTCGTGTCCCGGCACCCGCAGCGCCTTGGGCTGCCCGTCCCCGTTCTTGTACTGGACCAGGAAGTGGTCAAACTGTCCCTCGGGCACGGTCCAGGAGAGGCTCAGCGAGTCCGGGGAGGACCCTGTCACCGTCAGCTCCCCAAGGAGGGGCTCCTCGTTGGGCTTCAGCGTCTGTGTACCAGGATCTGTGGGGCTTCGTATCTCTTCCACAGCCTCCTGAGGGGCTGTGAAATGGATTGGGATACAGGCTTAAAGGATGACTTGCCTTGCGGGTTACATTAAATATGGTAATCAGGTAAATTCAGCAAATATACTTAAGCTGTAGGGCTAGTGGTTTGTGCGACCTTTGTGTTAACCATTCGGTGGATGAGGAGGAAGACAGGGCTGAGAAGGCCCCTGGTTTCCATCAAGCAGTGCTAGACAGCTGCACTGGTGGGCTCTGTGGGCTGGAGTCTCCCCTTATGTCTGAACATGGAGCTGAGATGGGAAGATTGGACCTCTCAGGTGCTGTCTACCATGTTCACTGCGCACCTCAGGTAGTGAAGGGCAGTGCGGCCTCTTCCCATGTGCACCTCTGTCTTTCAGCTTCTGCCCACTTCCAGGGCCTCACAGGTACACCTCATCATAACCCTCAAGAATGAGTCTCTAAGTCAGGGCTTCAGGCAAAAGTGGAGTGGGGTGGGCCCTGCTTTGATTTGGGGGTGGGAGTAGAACTGGGGAAGACCCTGAACTTCCCCTACCCACGTCATCTGCAGTTAGATCTTTGCTGAGTCTCCATGGACTGGAGAGACTGGACAAGGGCAGCCAGCCCTTCTGTGATCCACTTCCCGGTCCATGGGAAACTACTTAAGAGGAAGGAGACTGAGGAGAGAGGAGGCACGAATGATAACCCAGTTGAGGATGGGGAAGGTAGGGGGATGGGAAAAGGAAACAAGGATACTGAGAAGCAGGAGAGTCAGAGAGAAACAGCAGCTCATTCTCAGACAGCAGTGTCGGTGTGCCAGGCACTGTCCTGAGTGCTGTGTGTACTCTAACAACTGTGTGAAGCAGTTACCGTGATTATCCCCATTTGACCAATGAGAAAGCTGAGACACACACGGTCATACGTGGGAGAGCTGGGATTACAATCGAGACTGCTGGCTCCAGAGCCATGCTCCCAACCATGCGGTTACCCAGCCACAGAGAGGGAACCAGCTGGGGAGGTTGGACATATGGAGCATCCTGGGAGTTGCTGGAAGTGAGCCCGTTTCCCTACGCCAAGCTGGCTGAGAGTCAGGGAGGCAGGAGACTGGGAGGAATCCCCTTCCTGCTGGACAGGGCTAGGGAAACAAGGTGCTCTGAAGCTCAAAAATGACCATGACTGGAGCCAGGTCATGGAAGGCAAGGAAGCCCAGCACAAACCCTGGGGAAAGAACACAGTGGCTGAGGACAATGCAGGCAGGACAGGCACAGGACGGCCGGCGAGGGAGGATGATTGCAGGTGCTCGGATTGCGGGAACGGGGGCTGCTCTTGGAGAGGGAGAAACAGGGCCATGACAGAGGCTGGGGCTGATGGCTGGGTGAGAAGTCCTGGGACGTGCGAAAGGAGAGGCTGGAGGCTTTGGCGGAATGGGAGCCAAGAAAAAGAAGGTGCAGGGAGCTGCATAGGAGCCCCTTCCTGCTCAGAGGACTGGGGGCTGACAGGGGAGGGGGCCCTATGGCCCTGACTCACCCGTGGTGGCCCTCACAGACACAGGCCTCACACGCTGCCGGCCATGAAGGCCATAGAGGTTCATTTTATACTTCCGGTCAAATTCCAGGCCGGCGACAGTGACTGTGTTCTCATCTCCCTTGACAGACACTGCCTGGGACTGCCCCTGTGCATCCTTGTACTGGATCATGAAGGAGCCACAGTTGCCCTGGGCCACTGTCCAGGACAGGCGCAGGGAGTCTGGGGTCATGAAAGTCACTGTCAGTTCCCCCAGCACTGGCTGCTTGGGGGGCTCTGGGTGGCGGGCTCCTCTTTCTTCTCTGGAGCTGTAAATAAGAGGACCCAGCCAGGCCTGAACTGGCAGCCTGGGGTTGGGTCTTGGGCTGTGGATGGGTTGTCATACCGAGAGGGTCATATTGGATTAGTGAGAACTCCTGGGATGTTTGGCACCACCGGGGTATGACACACCTTCTGGGCCTTGGGGAGCAGCTGAATGGGTTGGACAGGGCCCAGCGGTACGGGGAGGCTGGCTGCCCCGCAGCCTGGGGGCAGGGCTAGAATCAAGAGTCAGCCTTCTCAATGGGAAGCCCAGTCAGTTCCTAGCTGAGGGCAAGTGTGTGGAAGGATGAGAGGGGTCACAAGGGGCTGATGTGGCTGCCACTCACCAGTGCTGCCATCAGCCGTGAGGGGGCCGTGCCGCTTCTTGTTTGCAATGCCAAACAGAGTGAATCTGTACTTATGGTCAGGGTCCAGGGGGTAGACAGTGACCGAGCGCTCAGGTCCTTCCACAGGCACCACTTGGGGCCGTCCATCCCTGTCCCTGTATTGGACCACGAAGGAGTCGAACTGGCCCTCAGGGACCGTCCAGGAGAGGTGCAGTGAGTCTGGGGTGGGATCTGTCACCCATAATGTTCCAAGACGGGGTGGGATCGCTAGGCTGGGATCGCTCTGAGGCACTAGGAGAGAAGGAAGGGGAACATAGGTTAAAGGAGAGGGGACATCTCCCTCCCATACAGGGATGCTCTGTGAGGTTGCGAAGGTTGTTCACCGCACAAAGGTACACTGAAGGAGCACTGAGAGAGGGCTTCCAGCCAGCACTCTGCTTGCCAAGCTACATACCCTGGCGATGGGCTATGCCCACCTACCTTCTTCTTCTAAATGTATAGACTGGTGTGGCCCTTACTCTATCCCTAGCGTGGGGAGGGGCTTCAGAGACAGGGGAGCCCAGCCAGCTCTTTCCACATCTCCATGGCCAGGGAAGTAAGTGTTCCAGAGCAACCGGCATTGCTTCCAGGCTTCACTGGTTGGCTTGTCCTCTGAGAGAGGGGAGAGAGAGATTCCTACACTGGTTCTAGTCATGCCCTCATGTCCATCACCCTCCACAGTAGCTCTCACCAGGGCAGTGCTGAGCTCGCGTTGCTAAGTCCTGTGGACACTGTGCAGCGTTGAATCACTCTCACAGAACCTGATGTGCCTGGCCACATCCTTCACTTTGGCATCCAGGACAGCACTCTCCAGGACTCTGCCCCTCTCTACAAGTCACCCCTCAGGCTACCCTGCGGGCTCTTCTTTCTCTGCGAGTGCTTGTGCCCTGAGTGTTGGCCACCCCCAGTGCTCCCACAGGCTCACCCTTGCTCCTATTTGTTGGCACCGATGACACCCACACTCCCTCTCCAGGCCTCCCCTCTGCTCTCCACACCCATGAAGGCAGCAGTATAAGCCCAGGGCCCATCACTTTCTTCTTGAGTGACCTCTTTGAGCCTTGACTCTCCACATCTATTGCAGGGCATGCCTCCCAGGGCTGCTGTAAGGGCTGGGTGTGATGAGACACCTAGAATATCTGGTACACGTTTGATCTTAAAAAATGGTCAAAAGGTGTTTACTAAGTATCTCGCCGCATTGTTCCTCACTTCTGCTGTTCCTTGTCTCAGGGAACAGGACTGTTTGATCCAGAAATGTGGGGTGCTTGGGCCACTTGCTCTCCTTCATCTCCCACATCCAGACTCACTGCCACCATCCCAAACTTAACTCACTTTTCCAGCTATCCTCCACAGCAGCCTTGGTGTAATTTGTAAGATAAATATAGAATCATGTCTCTCCCCACTTAAAACCCCTCAGAGGCTCCCCGCCCCTGCCGCCACCCAGAGCCCTCAAATGAGGTCCGAGCTCATGTCAGACTCATGAGTCCCTTCAGCTACCCAGGCACCCTGCTGTCCAAAAAGAGGAAACATGATGCTCCTACAGAATCATGCCCATTCCCGCCCTGTGCTCCACGGCTCCCTGTCCGCACTGCCCTCCTCATCCTCTCTGCCTGACCCACCACTGTTTTCCCTTCAGGATTCATCTCAGGGTTCCCTGCCTCCAGGAAGCCTCCTTGGAGTTCCCAGAGCACTGGGAGGACCCCCTTGAGGATCATGCGGAGGGCAGGGCCAGGTGATGTGTGTGACCGCTCTCACTTACAGATCTTGGCTTCAGCCACCAGGGGGCCATGCCTCTTCTTGCCCACAAACCCATACAGGACAAATTTGTACTTGCGGCCCTCGTCCAGGTTGGTGATGAGGGCCGAGCGTTGGGGCCCCTCCACAGGCACCACGTGGGGCCCGTTCCTGTCTTTGTACTGGATCATGAAGGAGTCGAACTCGCCCTCAGGGACCATCCAGTGCAGGAGCAGGGAGCTGGAGGTCACATCTGTCACTCGCAGCTCACCCAGGCGCGGTGGGGCCAAGGGCTTCCCAGGCTTTTCCCCATCCCTGTCTGGAGTAGGGGTCGAGGAGTAAAAGCAAAGCAGGCACACTCAGCCAAGGCCTTGTCCTTGTCTCCTTCCTGCCCTCTGCCCACTGGCTTCCTCCAGCCTGGCCAGCTCCCTCCCTCCCTTGAAGGCTCCATTTCCCCACCCCTAAGCCCTCTGTGACCAGCCTTCCTGGGAAGGGGGATTTCCCCCCTCAACTTCTGTCCTGGAGTCAGAGCTTTGGCCCTTACCCATCCCTCAAAAAAGTCCCAGTCCCTCTCCACAGCAAGGTTTATGGGGAAGTTTCTGGTCCCCCATGGTTCTTCCTGAGAATGTCAAACTCCCCATTGCTGCTATAGAGCAGTCTGGAGACTCCTCAGTCCACCTGAACTTCTCTCTCCTGTGTCTCCCTCTCTCAGTTGTGAGCTTGACCTGGAGTTGTAGGGAGAATCAGCTTTCCTGGTCCCATAAACAAGGACGAAGAGGGATGTGAGAGCAGGCACCCCAGGTCTTGTCCTTCACTGGCTCTGAAGACCTCACCCATTTCTGAAATCCTGACAGCTGTGAAGCTCCCCGCCCCAAGGAACCTCTACCCACAGGAGAAAACGGCTGATGGACTCATGGGGCACTGTCCACGGCAGGCCAGGCTCTCTGGGGGGGAGCAGTGCCACAGTCCTAGCCTGCCCAGTGCAGGCGGTGGCAGGGGCTATGGACAGGGGCAGGGGAGGAGGGTCAGTTTCATCAGGGCCAGAGGCCTTGCCACACCCACCCTGGGAGATCTGTGGGGTGGGGTGGGGGCAGAGGAGTGGCCAGGATATGGAGGCGTAGGACACGGGGCAAAGAAAGGAGAGAATTCCTGTCCCTCCCTGAGTTTTCTCATCTTCTTTTTGGGGAGTACTCCTCTCCCTGGCCCACTCTGTCATTATTCCACCCCATCCTTCTTGCCTCTGAACTCTTAACTCCTTTTCTCTCCTTGTCTTCTCCCACCACTTTGACCCAAACACAGCCCTGCCCTTCTGCCCCTCCTTCCCACTTCTAAAGTCCTGGTGACCCAGCTCCTCCCCCAACCTCAGGACCCTGGTCTGAGCAGAAGGCAGGATGTACCCATAATGCCTTGATAGATGAGAGGGGCAGAAGGCTCGCCCTCAGGGGGAACCCCACGAAGTGACAGCTCATAGGGGGCTCCAGGAGGGGGTGAGGGCACCCGCGCCTGGCGGACGTCCCCTGGCAGCAGTTCGTCATGTGGCCCTGGACCATCAGGGACCCAGAGGCGCAGCTGGAAGTGGGCAAAGGTGTCAGGCTGGGCTGTCCAGGCCACATGGAGGCGTCCAGTCTTGTCTCTGCCCAGCACCTTCAACTCTCCCAGCTCCTGGGGGCGCTGCTGCAGGACAGGGGCCTGAGCCCCTTGAGTTGTTGAAGGGCCTGAGTGGGGAGGCTCATCAGTGGCTCCCAAGAAGCCCGAGGGGGAGGGTCCTGGGATGGTAGGGTGAGAAAAACAGGAGAGTCCGTTGTGAGAACCAGGAAGGAACCCCAGCCCGCAGGTTCTGCCCTCTTGGAGAGCTTGCACATGTTCCCTGGGCCACCTCGTCCTCCCAAATGTCAGCCTGGCCCTCCAAGTACCTCTGTCCACCTCACCTGGACAGGCCTGCAGATAATAAATGAAATAAATAAAGCCTGCCATCTCTCCCCCCACAAGACATTTATGACCTCCAGCCCCACAGACGTCCAAGTCCCTCCCCACAGGGGTCCCCCTCCCCACTGGGTGGTGGTCGTGGCTTCCATTAGTGCTGCAGTGAGAAGCCTGGAAGAAAGGAGGAGAAAGCGGTGTTAGGGAAGGAGGGTGCGAGAAGAGAACAGGTAGTGAGAGGAGGGGGTTAGCGTCCAGCTCAGATGCCTTTGTGCCCTGTGAGTGAAGAAGAGGTCCACAGCTCTCCCCGTGGTGGCCATAGAACACCCCTTCCCTGAGCCCTGACATCGTTCCTGTGGGAGAGATCGGCATGAAATGAGCCAGGGGATCTGAAAGGTGGCTCAGGAAGCAGTGGGTTCCCTTCTCACATACACATGCTGCCGATGGCTTCAGGCAACTCAAGCAGTTCCTGTGAGTCGCTTTGAGGTCAAGGCCAAATCGTGGAAAGTGGTAACCACTGGCCACACTCTTCAGCCACCCTTACCGCAGTGAGTCATAGCGGGGGACCTCTGGGGTCAGTCACTCCTACCCCACCCTACCCCACCGCACCCGTGGGTCTGCAGTCCCTTGCTGCCCACCAACCACACCTTCTGTCACCTCGAACAGCAATCCCAGCAGAAGCACCTTGAGAACCCAGGTGAAAACCAAGGGACCCCCAAAACCAGGTCTCCTGGGCCTTGCATGTCTGTCAGAACCCTGGGGGCGGAGGTGGTTCTACGGACACAGGAGGGCTGTGCCTTGCTTATGGGGTCCCCTGGAGCCTGGACCAGGTAGGACTTGAAGGCAAAAGGGTGTGAAGGGGTGAGAGTCTGAGCAGTGAGCAGTGGGAGGAACTGAGGGATGCAGACTCCAAAGGCAGGTGAGCCTGGGCAGGGGAGGGGTGGTCCCACGACCCAGCCCACGCTACCTGTGGTGGTGATGAAGGCGTAGGACTTGGAGGTCTGCCCTGCCCGCACCCCGTGGACCTCCACGTGATAGGTGGTGGCGGGCCTTAGGTCGGGCAGGGTGACGGTGCGCGTGGTGCCAGGCACAGTCAGCTCCCCGCGGGGGCCGTCTGCAGGCGGCTGGGGCTGCCAGCGCAGCACCACTCGCTCGAAGTGGCCGCGGAGCCCATCGAGGGACACGAGTAGTGAGCCGTTGGCGGAACTGCCCAGCACCTCGGGCTTGGGGTGGCGGGGCACCACCATCCCATCGACGCCTTCAGGTAAGAGGCCATAGATGCCCTGGTTGGAGTCCCACTTCCAGGTGCCGGAGTCGGGGCTGACGGTGGGGTAGGGCCGACGGGGCGGGGGTGCGGGAGATCCGGTGGGGGCAGAAGCCGCCAGACGCCGCTGCAAGTATTCGTGGATGTGGCGCGCTACGGACGCGTAGGTCTGGTTGGCCCTCAGCGGGTAGCCGTGAGCCCGCAGGCGGCGCTCCAGGTCCTGCACCGTGCCGCGGAAGCGGCCCAGCTCTGCTGTCAGGTTGCCCCACGGCCGCCGAGGGGGCCGGGGCAGGTTAGGCCCAGGCCCAGGCTCCTCCTGACCCTCCTCCGCAGGCTGATGGGGCCTAGCGGGCCTAGGGGGCCGCGGAGCCGGCCGGGGCCGTGGTTTGGGGGGCGGGGCTGGGGGGCGCACCTCCGGGTAACTGTAGTGGCCTGGTGCTGGGGTGGGGGGGGGCAAAAAGGGGGGACGGGGAGAGCCGATCAGTGGAAGCTGCCCCCACCATCCCTGCGCTCCTCCCTAGGCATTCCTCCCTCCACCGTCCCTCCCACAGGAGCCAGAGGCCTTGGCCCTATGCCCCACCCCCACCTGGAAAGAAAACCGAGAAAAAGGAGTCATTGTCCCAGGAGCCCCTCACTCATCGCCCTCCAAGCCCACCACTGTTGGTGCCCTAGAAAGAAAAGAGAAGCCAGCGGGCTGGGCCCTGTGTCTAAAGGAGAGAAAGGGGAGTGGGAGGAGAAAATGTGAGCTAGAGCAAAGTGGGGTCCCTCTGTCACAGGAAAAGAAAAGAGAGATCCAGGCACCTGTCAAGAGACCTTGAGATTAGTAGAAAATTACTGCCATGAGGTCTAACTCTCCAAATCCCAACCCTAAAATCAACAGGAGTGTTGATGTCTGATCTGCCTAATTCCAGTCCCTACGGGATCTGACCACTGACTGAGCATGAGGGTTGTTCCCCATCTAGGGGGGCCACCAGCATCTCTTATTCATTGTTCTCTTCATGGGCAGCTCCTCTCATACTCCAGCCCATAGGCTTCCTATAGGACTCGAGTGCCTGAGAGCTATGTCTCCCTGGTACCATTGGTACAGAGCAAGGTCCCCAGCAGGTGCTTTGGGACTGCCACAAACCCTGCCAAGCGCATTCGGGGGAGCCTGTGAGTCTTATGTGTGCTCTCATGGAAGGGGCTCCTACACTCAGAAACCAGGCCTTTCCCTAACCCCTGTGTTAGCCATACCTGTGTTAGCCCTGACAGAAGCTGGGTAGCTTACTGCCCGGCCCCGCTCTGCGGTGACAGTCACTACATATTCCACGCCTGGCATCAGGTCAGTCAGCAGTGTCCCGTCTGCCTCAGCTGGCACTTCCAGCCGCACCCTCTGGTTGCCAGCACTGACATAGGACACCACAAATCGGTCCACCTCGGCCTGGGGGTGCAGCCAGCTGAGCTCCAGCGTGGTTGGAGTCACGGTCACCACCCGGAGGTCTTGCGGGCCATCGATCACTAGCCAGGTTAGAGAGAGCAGGGATCAGGTGGGAGTTTGGTTTTTCAGTCACCAGCTTTCCTTGCCCCACCGAAACCCTCCCCACTGCCCTCCTGGAGGGTAGACTCCTGGCCACCTCTCTCATATCCAGATCTCTGCTTAGGACCCTACCCCACAGCCCCTGTTCTCACTGGTGGTGATGGTCTTGGACACAGGAGGGCCCCAGTTAGTCCCTCGAAGGGCGCGGACAGTGACCTGGTACTCCTGACCAGGGGCCAGTCCTCTCTGGTCATAGGCTGAAGCAGAGCTGGACACCCGCGTGGTGAATGGTGGACTCGCCCCCTCTGTCTGCAAGAGAAAGAGCCCTGGGTAGGTCAGGGCTGGCACTCTGCTCCTGCCGCTCAATCCCGCGCCGCGCCCCCTGCCCCCCCCCCCGCCCTCGACAGTCTTCAACTCCAAGCCGTGTCAAGCTGGGACTGTGCAGAACTTGGCCCTGTCCAGCCGGGGAGCACAGATGGTAACAGCAAACACTTCTAGGACACTTTCTCCATGCCAGCTACTGTTTAAGGCAATTTATATATATGCACTCACTGAATCCCAGGCAATGTGACCTCAGAGTCCCTTCTCTTGGGCGCTACCTTTTAGCCTGTTCATCAGTTGTCTGCCAGAATTCTACCCGACACCCAGGACTCTGGCCTTCCCTGAAAGCCTGGCTTCCTGGTGGGACAAGGCTTCTCCTAAGCTCACGCCTGTCAGGACAAATGAAGGAAATGAGGGATGCCCCATCAAGTCTCACTTCCTCCTTAAAGCATCTGCCCCAGCCTGAACCTCCCCACAGACCTCTGCCCTGCTGTCTAATCTAGGTGTGACCTTGTCATGCCATTTCCCTTCAGGCATTTTTCTTGTCTCTTCAGCAGAGTTGTAGGCCCCTCAAAAACAAGGCCCATCTGCTCAGAGTTCCACAGATATGTTCCCCAGTTTTGTATCTGGCATCATGCTGGGCATTGAGACAGAAAAATAAAAGCTATGGTCCCTGTCCTCAGATAGCTCATGCACAAGTAGCTAACTATATGGCTACATCTTAAATTTTATTAGACCTCCCTACCCAAATCTCTATTTGTAGTACATGTCTGTGAGAAAACAACCCTCCTCCAAGTGTACATCTGAGGTATTATGATTATCTGTGGTGACCCAACAAGAAAGCTGCTGGCCCCTGCTCCAGGCAGGGCCTCTCTGGAGTGCCCGCCACTGGGGGACAGAAGGAGCTGGATATCTGTGAGCAGCCCAGCAGCCCCATGTTCCCCTGGGCTGTCCAGCTGATGGTCGCACTCTGCTCTTCTGAGCTATATTGGCCAAGATGGGGATGCGTCCATTCAGCCAAGTGGAATTGGAATTTTCAGAAGGTACTCTCCTGACCCCAGAGTTGGTGGGCGAATTATACTTTGGTAAATACTAAAGTATAAAACCAGATGAGAGGCCACATATAGATCTCTGGGTTGAAGATGAATAAAGCTTTGTCAGAGTTTTCTTGGCTGAAAAGTTATCATCGGCACATAGGGCCCTCGTCCCTCTCCTGCTCACCTTGCCCTAGGATACGCCAGTCTAGTAGGTCTTTGGTTGGACTCAACACCCATGAAGTCCTCATCCTTCCCATGACTTAACTTTCTCTTTCACCTTCTATTCCCCCAAGGTGCGTGCGCGCGCACGCGCGCGCGCGCACACACACACACACCCACCCCTTGGGTGCTCCCTGATGATGTCTGGTCCTTTCAGCAAGATAAGCCCATCCCAAGGTCTCCTTCTCTTTTCAGATCATCTACATGAACATTTTAGACATCTCTTAGTCCTTCCTGAGGTTTACTTTGGAACAGTCCCCTGACAATCCCACTGTCACCATGTAGGGACAATGGAGTCAGTCAGGCTCCCTCACCCAGATATACAGATAACTCTGACTCAGCAGTGTTCATATAACCTTGAGTAAGGGACCACATATGCAGAATCAAGCTCTGTTATATAACCAGTAATGTCATATATTGGCACTCTACTGGCTGTGTTCACTTAGTAAGTAAGAGAGTTGGGACTTTCCACTTCTGTGGATCATCCCACCCTGGAATAAAGGCATGTCAGACATCCCAACAGCTCCCTGTATTTTCTTCCGGCTGCCCAAATCCCATGTTAACCTGCCTGGCCTTGAACACTTACAGGACACACTACATCTGGCTGGTGTGAGGCAGGCTCTCTAGCCAGATGCTGGCAGCTGACTCTTCCCCTTAGTAAAAGTTTGGCTGCTTCATTGCTTGCTTGCTTTCTCGCCCTATTCTTGAAATCAACCTTGTGGCCCTAGTGAAAGGCTCCACGTTGGCTGGTCCCTGGACCTTACTTCACCCTCATCCCCCTCTTCAGGCCAGACTTAAACACAAACTTTTCTGAGTCTGCAAGATCTTGTGTTTCAATGAAAATTTGGTGTAGCCTTGGTTTCCAGGCTGCAGAATATACCCAGACAAGGAATACCTGAGCCTCTTTCTGTTTCCTCATGCTTTCTCTTACATTCATAGAGGAGCCAGCATTTTGCAAAATAGCAACATCCCTTAAGTTGGTGGTCCTCAGATTTGGGGTGCATCAGCATCACCTGGAGGGCTTGTTGCAACACAGGTTACTGGGCGCCACCCCAAGAGCTTCTGATTCTTTAGATCTGGGGAAGGAATCCAATAATTTGCATGTCTAACAAGGTCCCAGGTAGTGCTAATGCTGCAGATCCAGGGAACATACTTTGAGAACCACTAAGTCAGAGTAACAAGGCCACGCATGCAGAGAATTGTTCTGCTCCGGTGTTCTGAAAATCATTCCAATGGCTAGGTGTGTCCCTTGGCCAGGAATAGCAGAGCTTCAGCTTTGAGAGAGAAGTGTTTCTGGATATGGTAGGGACAGCCAGGCTTCTAGGAAGATGGCAGTGGCCAGAGGAAAGCCAGTTGCTGAATATATTCTGTGCCAATAGAAGTGGACAGAGAGCATTGACCAAGGCAAGAGGCCCAATTTCAGGCACCAGCTACAGAAAGTATAGCAAGCATAATCTGAGGGCCAATACATAGGCTGATGGGGAGCCCAAGAGTGGTGTCTAGGGACCAATTTTACAGGAGTATTTTTCATGCCTGGGCTCAGAGAGAATCCAGAATGTGACAAAGGCCAATACCCAGAGCAGAGCACATGAGCTGACAGCAAGGCCAAGCCGGGTTCAGGCCAGCTCGATGCCACCTAGCCCCACGGTGAGGGAGGAAGCTCAGGGCTTCGACTGAGAAGCCCCACCTCTTACAACACCCAAGGGTGGGCTTGTAGTTCCTAACTAAGAGCAGGAGGTAGTGCTGCCCTGCATGCTCCTTTCATTTCAAGGGTTTATTTTAATTCCACTTTCTCTCAAGTTTCTTTGGAAAATTCCTTCTAAAAGTCCCATCCTCTCAAGATTAGAACTATGTAAATAATATACACAGAGAAGAGAGTGGGAGAAATACTTTAAGATGTTAACAGTGCTTATTTTAGTGTGAAGCAGCCAAGAATTATTTGTTTTTTTTTTTCTAGTTGCCAAATTCTTGTCTTGTGATTAAGTTATTTTTATACCAAGTAAAAAAAATTTTTAAAAGATTTTATTTATTTTTAGAGAGAGGAGAAGGGAGGGGGAAAGAGAGGGAGTGAAACATCGATGTGTGTGAGAAATATCAATCAGCTACCTCTCACACATGCCCCGACTGGGGACTGAACCCACAACCCAGGCATGTGCCCTGACCAGGAATCAAACCTGTGACTCTTCACTTTGTGGGACCAAGGCCCAACCAACTGAGCAACACTGATCATGGTGTAAAAAAAATTTTTTAAGCAGAAGAAAAAATCCAAGTTATCCTAGTTGTAAAACAAAGTAGGGATTTCTACCTCTGCTTCTATCAGGGGGTGAGGAGAAACAGAAGATGGCAGGGATCTGGCTTAGGGGTATGATAAGAATAACCAGGCCAGCTGGGGTGTGGATGACAGCCAGCACCTCTGTGCTGCCCCTTCTGTCCCAGAGGCTTCCTAATGTTTTGGCCCTGGGAGTTATTTATTTTTCCTGAGTCCTGGCTGGGCAGAGATAAGGGTGACGTGATCTACCTACTAAGACATTTGTGGGATGATTCAGGAAAATACGAGTTGAACAGTAGAAATGTCAGATGATTTGGAGTTAGGAGAACAAACACATCATACAAGCCCAATCTGCACAAAGGGAGATCTCTAATGGGAGGACACACGTCTCTGTCCTTAGGGTACCCCCCAAATATTTTAAGAGTAAGTTGGGAGGAGACAGAGAAAGGATGCTTTGCAATGCATTGACAACATGGAGGTGGAAGAGCTGCTTCACAGATTCAAAATTATTGAAACAGCTGAGACAGCTTGGCTGAAACCAAAAAAGATAACATTAAACAGAGCCAACTACCAAGTCCTATATTTAGGCTAAAAAAGTATATATAGTTCATTCTTTCTTCTTTTTCCCCCTTATTTATCTATATTTTCTGAAGTTCCCACACTAAGCCTATACAAATTTTATAATCAAAAGTTATTTAAAAAAACAAATATGATAAAAACAGCTGACAGTGTGTGTGGCCACAAGTTAACATATGTCAACTCTGAGAACAGTGCTGGTGTCTCTAGAGTTAGCCAGGGGAACAACTGGGCTCCTCCTCTCTGCATTCATGTTGTGGGGACAAGTGCAAAAAACAGGAGGCACTAGAAGAAGGAACTCTGGAAGTGAAGAATTCAAGAACAAAGTCCTAGGGAAAAGAGGGGGAGGAACCAGTGGGTTTTGCCCATGAGAATAAAGGGTGACATGATGGCTGATGACTCCAAATCCCTGAAAGGTTGTGACGAAGGATGCAGGGCAAGCAAAACATCACCCTGACTGCTGGTGAAGGCCAAGCTAGGGCCACCGGGTAGATATTAGAATGGTGCAGACTTGGACTCGGCAATAACAAAAAGAACAATGATGACCAACAAAGGACTAGACAGCCTCAGAGAATACTGAGCTCAGTGTTACCAGAGGTGTTCCAGCAGGTGGCCCTCTGCTGCAAAGGCCCTCTGCACCCCACGTAGGGCAGGAAAAGAAAGACTTTAGAGTGGATTCAGGAACCTAGACATCTGGACTCAACCGTTGATTACCTGAAAGGTCCTGCATGAGGTGTGTACCCCCTACTGTGGTCCTACCCTCTTGTCCCCTCCTGGAGTGTGGCTCTTACCGTGGGGGTGAACTGAATTTCATAGGCATCCACAGGGCCAGGAGCCCTGGTCCACTCTGTCCGAACCGCCGTCTCCTCCAGGAGGTGCATCCTCATGCCCTCAATGGCTGGCACCTCTGCCCAGGAGAATGGGATATGGGAAAGGAAGCTGGTTAGCCCAAGGCAGCCCCACCCGACCCCCATCATCACAGGCCCTCTAGTCAGGGGCACACAAACAGGTCAATCCCAGTTCCCACTGCTCTCTGGGGGCGGAGCAAAGCTGGCAGAGGCCTGAACAGGACCTAGGTTTCCTTCATCTTCCCTCCATTTGAGGAACACAGAATGTCCCTGAAAGCAACCAAAGGGCCCCCAACCTGCTCATAAGATATCTGAAAGCAGGTGCTGCCTGCAGGTACCCCATGGTTCTGCTGCGCCTGGTAGACACTGGCTCCCTAGCTCCTGTGACTGCCTACTCCCCCCACATATAACCTCCCTCCAATCTGCCTCCAGCTCCCTGGGCTCCAAGGCCTTAGGGTCCAGCCTTTCCACTGGCTCAGATTCCCAGTCCCTGACAGAGCATATTGGGGAGGGCTGCCCACTCACCTTCTCCGCAGTCCTCTCCTGCATAGCCCTCTTGGCAGATGCAGCTGCCCTCATGACACTCTCCTCGGCCACGGCAGCCCTCCGGGCATGTCTGGATGGCGCAGTCCGGGCCATGGAAGCCCTCAACGCATACACATTGGCCTGCGCGGCACAGTTCCCGAGGTCCGCAGCCCCCAGGGCAGGTGCTGGCAGGAGGCTCTTCCTGTCCACAGTCCTCCCCACTGTAGCCCGCGTGGCACACGCATGATCCCTGCACACAGTGCCCATGGCCCCGGCAGTTGGCCGGGCAGGTGCGGGTGGAGCAGGAAGGGCCAGTGTAGCCTGAGTAGCACACGCAGCGCCCATTATCACAGCGGCCACGCTGGTGGCAGTTGGAGGGGCAGGTACGGAGGCTGCAGTCCTCTCCAGCGTAGCCCTCCCAACAGGTGCACGCACCGTCCTGGCACGTGCCGCGCTGGCTGCAGTCTCCCGGGCACCGCCTCACGCCGCAGTCGTCGCCTGAGTAGTCGTCATCACACACACAGCGTCCGTCTAGGCACTGGCCATGGCCTCGGCAACCTCCCGGGCAGCTGAGTGAGCTGCAGTCCTCTCCCTCGTAGCCTATGTCGCACACACACACGCCATTCTCGCAGCGGCCGTGACCGCGACAATCACCTGGGCACTGACGGCTCCCGCAGTCCTCGCCCGTGAAGCCCGGGTTGCACACGCAGCGACCATCCATACAACGCCCACGCCCTCGACAGTTGCCAGGACAGGCGCGCGTGCCGCAGTCCCGGCCTGTATACCCAGGCCAACACACGCACCGGCCACTTTCGCAACGACCCCGGCCGCGACAGTCCCCAGGACAGCTGCGCACGCCGCAATCTTCGCCACTGTAGCCTGCGTTGCACACGCACACGCCCTTCTCACAACGCCCGCGGCCCCGACAGTTGCGCGTGCAGGCACGCGCACCGCAATCAGGGCCCGTGTACCCTGGCCAGCACACGCAGCGGCCATCCTCACAGTGGCCTCTTTGATTGCAGTCGCTGGGGCAGCTTCGCACTCCGCAATCGTCCCCGCTGTAGCCGGCGTCGCAGATACATTCTCCGTCCTCGCAGCGCCCGCGGCCCCGGCAGTCGTGCAGGCAAGTCCGTGTGCTGCAGTCCTCACCCGCGTACCCGGGCCAACATACGCAGCGACCGTCCACGCAGCGCCCACCTTCGCCACAGTTCCAAGGGCAAGTCCTCGAGCCACAGTCTTCGCCCGTGTAACCAGGGTCACAGACGCAGCGCCCATCCTCACAGCGCCCCCTCTCGCTGCAGCCTCGAGGGCATGAGCGCAGACTGCAGTCGTCACCCGAGAAGCCCAACCGGCACACGCACACGCCCTGCACGCAGCGCCCGCGTCCGTGGCAGTCCCCGGGGCAGGAGGGCCAGCCACAGCTGGGGCCGGTGTAGCCAGGGAAGCACACGCAGTGACCGCGGACACAGCGCCCCTGATCGTTGCAGTCATCGGGACAGGACCCGGAAGCAGAAGGTGGAGAGGAAGGGGACACTCCAGCGTCTACGGGGTCTGAGCAGGTTGGCCCACCCCAGCCTGGCTCGCAGGAGCAGGCACAGCGGCTCAAGTCAAATATGCCATGAAGACTGCAGAGGCTACGGACGTCAGTCTGGCCTGGAGTAAGAGCAAGGGGAGGGCCTCAGTCTCTTCCGGGGAGAATCTGAGCCCAGATAATGCTCCCTTGAGCTGCTCCCTCCAGGAGGGCCAGCCTCATTCCATAAGGCCATCTTAGCTTCTGGCTGCTCCTAGTCAATATATGTGGTCTCCCAGAACCCCAGAATACACTAGGGAGAAGAGGAGAGAGCTTACATCTAGCCAGGTTTCTCCCCTCTGCAAACTGTGCACTCACCAAGGAGGAGGAAGGGGTGCCTTTTTCTAATTCATACCCAGGTCCTTTATAGACTAGTGATGTCCACCCAACTCTTTGACTTGCCTCTTTTTCTGTGCCCCCTAATGTGTGGTCACCTGCTTACCTGTGCCAGCCTGGGCAGCAGCAGGACAACATCCCCCTGTGCACTGTTCCTTGAGCCCCTTCACCAGCTCCTCCAGGATCTCTAGACGGACCTTCAAGGACTGCACTTCTGAAGCAGAGACTGGGGGCTCAGTGCCTGGGGGACAGCCACAGCCAGTTGAAGGGGGCAGGTTAATGCGGTGGGTGAATACCACCTGCTTTTCCCCTCCTTCTACAGTGTGCTCATAAAGCTGAGAAGTGGGGTTCGCCCCTCTTGGTGCTGCTGTGCGGCCCCCTGGCTGAGGAGGGGGTCGTGGGGCGGGGAGTGTAATATTGGAGCGTGAAGAGAAAGGGCCTGCTCTGACTGTGCTCAGCAGCAGTAGGAGGGCCAGGCTGGAGGTTAGGGAATGCTGGGCTGGCATCATTTAGGAGGCTGCAAGGAAAGAGGGTAAGTGTGAGAGCAGTGTCACAGAGAAGACAAGGTGCCCCACCCAACACACACATTAACAACAGTCCCACCACCCGCAACTAATCTACCCAACTCACATGTATGTAAAAATCCACATTTAACCCAACCCTAAGGAATACCCTCCTTGGAGAGATTTGGTGTCTAACTCACTTTCTGATGTCATTTGTTTATCCTGCTCCCCATATCTTTTTACTGTTCCACCCATACCAGTCTTTTGTGTGTTCCGCTGACACTACAAACTTGCGTTATTAGCTTAAGGACCTTTGCACTGTATTTTTCCTCTGTCTGGGATGCTCTTCACTCAGCTCTTAAAGATGGGCTTCTTCTTGTTCAGATCTTAACTGATCTGTCATTGACACCTAGAGGCCTTCCTTGCTGCCCATCTGGAGCAGTCTTCCATTGCTCTCTACCGCAGTATCCCACTTACGCTCTTCATGGCATTCACTGCTGCCTGAGTCATCTGTGCGGGCACTTGTTTGTTCTCTTTCTCCCACTAGTAGAATGGAATAGAAGTGTGCAACTGTATGCCTGGGCCCACCACACAGGAGCTGTCCAACACATTTATGTTGAACGGATTAGTGGATGCATCTAAGGCCAGTCCTTCCACAAGCACCTGGATTCCAGAAGCTCCTACTTTCATCTCAGGAACCTTTAGATGCAGATTGTCCTCTCTCTTTTATTCAACCTCCCACTTTGCTCAACTAGGTCCCCCCCATCGGCTTTTATATGAGCTCCCAGTTTTTAAAAAGCCTTTTTCCTCAAGACTTATATTACCAAGTATCAAAACTTATTTTAAAGGTACTAGGAGACAGAATAGAATAGGGTCCAGAAACAGACCCACACATATATGGTCACCTGGTTAATGACAGAGGTATTATTACAATTAAGAGTGAATGGTCTCTTTTTAAAAGTATATTTTATTGATTATGCTATTACAGTTGTTCCATTTTTTTCTCCCTTTTATTCTCCTCAGTCCTGTACCCCCACCCACCAGCATTCCCCTTCCCTCTTAGTTTATGTCCATGGGCTGTACATATAACTTCTTTGGCTTCTCCATTTCCTATACTATCCTTAACCTCCCCCTGTCTTTTGTACCTACGATTTGTGCTTCGTATTCCCTGTACCTTTCCACCCATTCACTCCCCTCTCTCTCCCCACCAATAACCCTCCATGTGCTCTCCATTTCTGTGATTCTGTTCCTGTTCTAGTAGCTTGCTTAGTTTGTTTTTGCTTTTTTTTTTTTTAGGTTCAGTTTGTTGATAGCTGTGTTTGTTGCATTTTACTGTTCATAGTTTTGACCTTCTTTTTCTTAGATAAGTCCCTTTAACATTTCATATAATAAGGGCTTGGAGATGATGGACTCCTTAAACTTGACCTTCTCTGGGAAGCACTTCATCTGCCTTTCCATTCTAAATGATAGCTTTGCTGAATAGAGTAATCTTGGATGGAGGTCCTTGCCTTTCATGACTTTGAATACTTCTCTGCAGCTCCTTCTTGCCTGAAAGGTTGCTTTTGAGAAGTCAGCTGATAGTCTTATGGGAACTCCTCAGTAGGTAACTGTCTCCTTTTCTCTTGCTGCTTTTAAGATTCTCTCCTTATCTTTAACCCTGGGTAATGTAATTATGATGTGCCTTGGTGTGTGCTTCCTTGGGCCCACCTTCTTTGGGACTCTGAGCTTCCTGGACTTCCTGGAAGTCTATTTCCTTGGCTAGATTGGGGAAGTTCTCCATTATTTTTTCAAAAAAGTTTTCAATTTCTTGCTCCTCCTCTTTTCCTTCTGGCACCCCTATGATTCATATATCAGAACATTTAAAGTTGTTCTGGAGGTTCCTAAGCCTCTCCTCATGTTTTTGAATTCTTGTTTCTTCATTCTGTTCTGGTTGAATGTTTATTTCTTCCTTCTGCTCCCAATTGTTGATTTGAGTCCCAGTTTCCTTTCCTTCACTGTTGGTTCCCTGTATATTTTTCTTTATTTCACTTTGCATAGCCTTCACTTTTTCCTCTATTTTGCAAACATACTCAGCCATTTCTGTGAGCATTCTGATTACCAGTGTTTTAAATTCTGCATCTGATAGGTTGGCTATCTCTTCAGCACTTGTTTCCATTTATGAAACTTTGATCTGTTCTTTTTGGGGGGCCATATTTCTTTGTCTCAGTGTAGCTGTTACTGTAAGGGGTGGAGACCTGGGTATTCACCAGGGTGGGGCAACCCATCCATCTGTGTTATGACTCTGTATGTGGGGGAGGGGTCCAAGAGGGAACAATGCAGCTTGCTTGGCTCTTGGGCAGCATTCAGTCCCTTCCCCCACTACCCATAAGTGAATTGGGCCCTTCTGGTGCTGATTCCCAGGTGGATGGGTTTGTGTACATTCCAGGACCATGTGGGTCTCTCCAACGAACACTCCTGTGAGGCTGGGAGTTTCTCCCACTGCCTCAACACCCACAGGTTTTTACAGCCAGAGGTTTTGAGGCTTTTTTTCCCCCATGCTAGAAGTCTGGGTTGTGAGGTCTGTCTCGCTCTGCTGTTGTTCCTCCTGGTTTATCCACACACAGATGTGGGACTGCCAGCAGCCATCTCGCTCACCCAGTCCTCCAGCTGCAGCCTTGCTGTGTGTCCTCTCCACCCTGGCTCATTGTTTCCGCCCCTCCTACCAGTATAGATGAATGTTTCTTCTTTAACTGCTTCATTGTCAGACTTCGATACAGTTCAATTTTCTGGCAGTTCTGGTTTATTTTGCTTTTAAATTTGTTGTTGTCCTTTTGGTTGTGTGGGGATGCAAAGTGGCTCCATCTTGGTCAGAAGTCCTGAAAGGTCTTTTTGATAAATGGTGCTTTTTTCCAACTGAAAGTGCATGTGGAATAAACACCTATCTCTACCTTATGTCCACACACAGAAATTAATTTGAAATAAATCTAATGGACCTAATTTTCAAAGATAAAGCAATAACTTTCAGAACAATATCTTATAAAAGAAAATATAAGAGAATATCTTTATGACCTTGGAGTAAGCAAAGATTTCCTTAAAACCTAACCACACAAAATTTAACCATAAAAGATTTCACATAAAACTTAACCATAAAAAAAGTGATTGATACTTTGGATCCCATTGAAATTGATAACTTCTGGTCCTCAAAAGACACCATTAAGAGAATAAGAAGGAAAGCTATAGACTGGGAGAAAATATAGTTGACCCTTGAACAAAGTGGGGTTGAACTGCATAGGTCCACTTATATGCAGATTCTTTTCAGTTGACCTCCGCAGCTGAATTCCACCTTGTTCAAGGCTCAACTCTATGTGATATATCAGGGAAAAAAAATAGAGAAAGAGGTTTAAAATCTAAAATAAAGAACTTCAAAACAAAAACAAGTAAAAGGCAAGCAACCTAGTTTTTTAAATTGGCAATAAGAATACAGTATATCCAAAGGGCCAATAAACATGAAAAGGTGAATAACATCACTAGTAATCAGGGAAATGCAAATTAAAACCACAATGAGATGTCATCAAATATCCACCAGAATGGCTGCGATTAAAGGAACTGACATTACTCGACATTGGCAAGTGTATGAAGGTACTGGAACTCTCATCTATTGACAAAATGAGCATAAATTAGAACAACCACTTTGGAAAACTGGCAGTATCTACTAATTAAAGCACACAGCCTATAACCTGGCAATTCTACTTCTTGGTAAATATCTAATTGAAATGACTGCACATCCCCCAAACGACATATGAAAATGTTCATGAGATTTATTCATACTAGTCAAAACTGGGAACAACTCAAGAATCCATTAATAGTAAAATGGAGAAATAAATTGAAGCATTGTCATACAATGGAGTATTATACAGCGATGAAAATACCCTCTTGCCACATGGGACGTCATGAACAAATTGTATACGCATAATGCTGAGTAAAAGAAACCACATACGCACAACCATTTTCAGTGATGCTATTTTTATGAGTTTCTAAAAGCAAATCATTGCTTTTAGAAGATAGGCTAGGATTACTTTCAGGGATGATATTGACTGGGAGGAGTTATAAGGGGGGATTTCTGGAAATGTTTTGCACCTTGATCTGGGTGGTAGTTAAACAGATGCATATATATTCAAAAATTAATTGAGCTACACGCCTAAAATTTGTGCATGTCACTGTATGAAAGTCATATCTTAAAATAAAACAAAATACCTCCCCCAATCTCATATTCCCTCCAGCCACCACATATCTCTATCCTCTACTTCATGGCCAGTTTTCAAAGAAATTAATTAATCAATTGTACTTGGCTGTTTCTATTTCCCCTTTATCCAATTAAGGCCTCAAATGCACTCTCACCTGGCTCTACACCTCTTTTCAGCCCACCACACAGCCCCCCCCCACCAAGACCTCCCAATTATCTCAGTATCACAAAACCTAGGAGATATTTGTCTTCATCTTACCTAGTATCTGTCAAAATCACTAAACACTTTTGACTACATTTTCCATTTTAAACATTCTCTATCTCTGGACTTCTGGTCAAGAGAGCGGCATAGGTAAACATGGCTCACCTCCTCACACACCCACATCAAAATTACAACTAAAATATAGAACAACCATCACTCAGAACTGTCAGAAATCGAGTTGAATGGAAGTCTGACAACTACGGAATTAAAGAAACCACATCCATCTAGACTGGTACGAGAGGTGGAGATGCAGAACAGGCTACTCCCCACATCCACGGGTGGTGGATAAAAATTCAGGAGGGATATCTCAGGAGTGAGGAGTTCCAGCCTCACACAAGGCCCCCGAGCCCAGGGTTCCAGTGCCAAGAGGATAGGTTCCCATAACATCTGGCTGCAAAAACCAGCAGGGATTGAGTTGGAAGAAACTTCTGGAGCCCCAAGCAGTTCCCCTTAGAGAATCCACATACCAACTTACTCAGAATGACTGCCTCTGAGCTCCAGCACTAGGAGAGCAAGAACTTGAAAGGCAC